ACACAGACACATGCGAGACACTTGTATGCACTTTATACATGCAAGCCCCATGTGTGTACATAGATGTATACATATGTTTATATACATATACACACATGTATACGTAGACAGATGAATGGATATACATGCACTCACTATCTACACACGAGCAACACTGACCCTTCTTCCGTGAACCCCGCGCCCCGAACGCCGGTCTCCAAGGGCGGCACTCCCAGGCCCTTGAAGATATCTGCGGCTTCCTGCGCATCCTGCAACTACAGAATGGCCGTTGCGGTTGAGGACGCTCTGCCGGGTCTGAGGTGGCGGTTCCAGGATGGCAGTCTTCTTGGGGTGTTCGGGCTGCTTGACGTTTCTGAGTGCTTGGTTTAATGAAAACTTGTGGGGTCCAGGGAATCTTCGGACGGGTGGTTTCTAAGTCTGAGCTGCAATTGGAGGATCTGCGTAGCTTCGGACAACTTCACAGTTGCTCGTGAATAGACACAGAACTGGGACTCTCCTTGCAAGGAAGCACAGACCTTTCCTGTCGAGGTTTTTGGGCCTGGGGCTGTACAAGAAACCTCCAAGACAGAGCCCTGATGCTGTGAAATTTTGGGTATTCGAGGCTCAAAAGAGCGGAGAGCCTAAACCCTAAACCCCGAAACCCTAAACCCCTAAACCCTAAACCCCTAAACCCAAATAATCCCCTGAACCCACGCGGAGTCACGGAAAGGATTGGGTTTCTTGGGCTTTCATGGCCGGGTCTGACATTCGAGGTTACCTGAAATCTGCACATCGAACCCCTTACTCTCACACAAAACCAAACCCCAGGGTTTAGGGTTTAGGGGTTTAGGGGTTAGGGTTTAGGGGTTTAGGGTTTAGGGTGAACCCCTAAACCCCTAACAGCTTCACCTTACACTCTACTTAAAAACCATCGAAGGTTAACTCTGCCGTCCATGACGCACTCCTTTATCCGGCAAAGCTCTGGATCTCCGATTCCCAGAACTTCGTTGCTGAGTTCATAAGCCCCAAAACGTGTACACTTTCAGTTTTATAGTGGGTGGTATTGTCCCAAGAAGTGTAAAGTGTCTCCACTCAGCTACTAAGAGAATACTAGGGTGGATGTATTCTGCTAGAGGACGGAGACGGCAAGGGCATAACAATTCGGAGACCTGCGCTGAAGCCTTCTGATGTTTCGAGTTTTGGGGTCTTAGACTAGGGTGTGGGTTGCAAGGCTTAGAGACTTCAGGTTTGCACGTATTCCAACTCCGCTCAGCCGACTCGACCCGACCTTGATGGACTCATCGGTCTTGGTGTGCAGCTGCGCTATCTCTGCATCCTGCACGCAGCATGGCAGCATTAGATGCACTATGAAATGGGAAACACGTCAAAGTCTAAGACTTAAATCGTCAACCTATACCCTAAACCCTGTTGCCCTTACGCCTGAGCCCCGAAAACCCCACAACCCTTGAACGACACAAAGGGAAACTGCAGCCCATGAGATCTCACAAACACGTCAGGAAGACAGGGCAAAGCTGTCCGATACAGCAAAGGGTGCTTTAGAACTTCAGGGTTTAGGATTGTTCAGGGCTTAAGGTTCAGGGCTTCAGGGCCTAAGGGGTTCCCATTAAACTTCAAACTCAGGGGCTTGCGCTGAACGCTCGAAACACTAAATCCCGCAAAGCCCAGAAAGTTCTAACGTAGGGGTCTGAATAATTGGAACACGGTCTGAGGGTATACAATACGAGAGCCCGAACGAAGAGCATCATTAGCTATTCATGCTTCCAAGAGATGTATATATATATATATAAATATGTATGTATTTAAATCGTATATGTGCTTATTATGTGGTCCTAGGGCCCGAGAGTGCTAGACTCTGAATCCTTAGAGCCGTAGCTGTAGGGCAAAATCTAGGCTGTAAAGTAACCCACTGGGAAAAAGTATATACTTTCTTAGGCTTCCTATTTTATAATAGGAACCCAGACACCTGAAAGTAAAACAAGTGTACCACTGAACAGCCTAGAAATGGAAGACAGCAAGGCCCGGCCTTGAGCAGCTTCTGCGCCTTCTCTGCCTGCAGGCGATTGGAAGTGATCGTTGCTTTGGGCTTTTTAGGGTTTAGGGTCTTACAGTGAACCCCAGAAAGTTGGAACATGGATCTATGATGAATAGTGCTGGGATTCCATATACTTTACCTTAGGAGCATGAGGACGATGATGTTCCAACTTTCTGGCTTCTACCGTAGAGGGTTGCGTCGGGAAAATAAGGCTAATGTCATTAAGGGCTTGGTAGAGCTTTATGAAGGATGTATACGGTTTTGCAGGATGTAAACTAAGTCTAGCTGCCTCCATAATTAGAAGCAGGCGCCGGGTTCGTAGTGTAGAATATCGTACAAAGGCTTTAAGGAAACACTTGTGCTTACTGCTCCTGGCCTGCCGGAAACCCTGAACCCACGACATCCGAAGTGCCCTAAGGAAGAACTGCCCAAAGCCCTAGACTTTCCTTCATCTCAACTCTTCCCTTCTGCGCCTGTGCCATGATGTGGGCGCTGGCTTGTCGATGGGCCGAGCGTGTGCCCAATGAGTCGGCTGCTCCGACCCTTGAACCAAAAGACGCCGAGTTCAGGCGGTCAGGGTCTATGGTTGAGGGCCTTCTTTTCAGGCTTTAGGATTTAGGGCCTTGTGTTTAGGGGCTACTGTAGCTACAGTGAGATCCTTCTGTTCAGGGTTTGGGGGTGAGGGTTTAGGGTCTTCTTTTCAGGGTTTAGGGTTTAGGATTTGGAAGGCCTTCTTTTCAGGGTGTAGGGCCTAGGATTTGGGGCCTTCTTTTCGGGGTTTAGGATTTAGGGCTTTTTTTCTCAGGGTTTAGGGTTTTGGGGCTTCTGTAGGTACATCAGGGCCCTGAACCCTAAACCCCTGGTAGAGTAACCGAGTATTGCAGTATCAAGGGGCTGGCCGCCGAAACCTGATTGCAACAATCGGCCCTTCTCTCTGTACAGTCTTGCTGAACAACACTGAAGGAGGGGCAAGCACAAAACAGCAGCTAAACACAGGTCAAGGAAACCCCGGGCCCTCAACTACTCCTACAAACGCCACAAAGAACCTATCAACAACAAGAAGGGCGCAGAACGATGCCCGCAGTTCTGGGCATCAAGCCTAATACCAGGAACCCGAAGTGTGCTTTCAAGGGTCCTCCATTCCCGATTATGGGGTAAAAGTAGGTCGGGACTCCAACAAACAATGGGGATATGATATGGGTAGCGTTTTGAGGTTAGGGCTCAATATACTAAGAGTTTGGCATTCAGGGATTGTGGCTTCGGATACTCTATCTCCTCGGTGAAAGGACTTCAGGTGTTCTCACACGGCCGGTACTTAACAGAAAGCGCTACTCGGATCATGCGGAAGATCTTTAATAAAGCCACCAACACCCTGGATTTCTAAACGCATCACCTACTCAAAACCCTACCACCCCAAGGCAAACAGAAAGCCGAAGCCGTACACAGGACGCCATGTATCATGGGTAATTAGACTGGGGCCGTGGAGTACAGGATAGCAAACGATGTGCGGACTCTATTCACTCTATTCTATATAAGTTTTCAGACTCCAGACTCCTATCTTACCCACACCTATAAGGCTTCTAAGGACCGTAGCCCGAGGCCCAAGAGGGTGGACATTTCGGAAGCACAAATTTCCCCCCAAACACCAAAAACCCTTAAAGGAGGCCTGAACAGCAGCCCTTAAAGATCCCTTAAAGGGACCCTTATAAATCACTGAAAAGGGACCCTTGTAGATCCCTTAAAGGGACACAGGGGCCCATATAGATGCTTTGAAGGAAACTATACTGAACTTAGAACCCTAGCAAAACTTAAATTTTTAGCTATTTCGTAGGGATTATAATAACCAAAAACTCAAAATTGTTTCTAAGTACCCCTAAGTAGATCCTTTAAAGGAAGCCCCAACAGCAGCGACCCTCGGGGGCTCCGCCCAGGGACCCTCGCAGCTTTGCAGGCGATTCTCCGCCACTCTCAGCTCCTGCCAGGGTCTCGTGTTTAGAAGTAGTAGTAGTAGTAGTAGTAGTAGTAGTAGTAGTAGTAGTAGTAGTAGTAGTAGTAGTAGTAGTAGTAGTAGTAGTAGTAGTAGTAGTAGCTGTTGTTGTTGTAGTACTACTACTACTACTACGACGACTACTGCTACTACTACTACTACTGCTACTACTACTACTACTACTACTACTACTACTACTGCTACTACTACTACTACTACTACTACTACTACTACTACTACTACTACTACTACTACTACTACTACTACTACTACTACTACTACTACTAACTACTACTACTACTACCACTACGACGACTACGAGTTGGGAAGTTTCAGGTCCAATCGCTTGGGACTTTAAGATGAGCCGGGAACATGAAGAACGGCCTGTAGACCCTAACCTCTGCAATGCTGACTGCATGGGCCCCTTCTGACAAAAAGGTGCGGGGACTGGGTGCAGGTCTGGACGGTGCGATGCAACATTCATTCCCCGCAACATGGCCTGAAAACGGTGCTAACCTATAGTAGGTTGCTTTTCTTCGAATTCGAGCCTGACCGTCTTTTGATCTTGTGAGGATCTTCCTGCTCGGAGCCTGTCTACTATCCTCTAAAGGGTCCAAAGCACCTGTGTAGTAGAATGTAGGGTTTCTATATTATAAGGAATTACTATTATGATTTGGGGAAGTATCCCCCATAACAGTACCTAGGACCCCTGTGGGTCCTCTAAGTATTGAAAACGTAGGAAACCCCATTTCCCAAGTGCCCACGGCTGACGTAAAGTCTTCAACGCAGACCCAACCGGTGGCCAAGCTCTGGCGATCTGAAGCGATCTGAAAGCACGGCGATGTCAAAGCATTTGGGGTTTAGGGTTTGGTCATGGAATCAATAGCGGACTTCAACTAGTTTTCCTTTGGCCGCACACAGCTACCCTGCGGAGGTGAGCGAAATGCCATAGCCATGGCCGTAAGATTGCCTTCGCTCTCTCTATGAAGTCCTTTCGGCCCCATCATTTAACCTTCGAACCTTGCGGGCCTGCACGATGGCAGCTGCCTGGCTTTCTGACACACCGGCCGTGAAGAGGTGAATCTTCAACGCAACTTCAGGCCATTTGCTCATAAGACTACTGTAGGCCTGAAGTCTGAGGACCTGCTCACAGTTCTCTTTGATGTAGGACAGGCAAGCCTTCTCGAGCTGTGTGGCCTCGAAGACATGTGCCTGGCGAAGTATGTCGCAGACCCGCTCTGCGCTGAGCTGTTTGCAAAGCTGCGCTTCACACCACCGCTGGAGCCGCTCTACCTGAGTAGGTCTCAAGAATTTAGGGTAGTTTAGAATGCAGGTTTAGGGTTTGGAGGCGGGCCTTTCGAGCAACCCCTGATATGCCTCCAAACCCGTATGCACTTTAGGTTCGAATCCGGAGGTAACACAGTTCATGCACTTAAGCGCTGACAGGATTGTAAGCCGTTAACATGTATTTGGCAGTAACTGGATCTTCCGGTCGTTGTGTGGCAGGACAGGTGTATTGGCCGTACTTACTGTGTAAATACTGAGTTTGCATGCGTAGATAAGGTATGTACTTAGTTTGGGCTGGCTAGTTTGCCTGGCAAGGTAACAGGGCATCTTTGAGTTCGAGTCCGCACTTAAGCTTCACACGGTGGCAGGCACGCGATGGCACATCGTGCTGAGTTGGTGTAGTTCGGATTTGGCTCCATAGTCGGAGTTGATCTAAGGACATGCATATTCAGAACTAGTACTAGCGTATAGGGTGCATGCATATGTACGTTGCAGAAATACTCTACCTGTGTGAAGGGACCTCACACGCATCTTAAGCTTTGAAAACACCCCACCTGGTACTTGTGACTGACGGCCCACAATGCCTCCATCTGTGGCAGAGGCAGACTCCCGTCTGTTCTTGATTGCTTTGCTGCAGGGCCCTCAACAAAGGGAAAGTTGTCCGTGTAGAGGAACGTTAAGAAGGCCTTGAAAGCGTCCGCGGTGCAGTCTTCAACCATGATTACCTTGGAAGTGGACTCCTGCATGCCGGAGTTCAGTAGCTTCTTGAGCACCTCCGATCTGGCGCACAGAACTTGCGAGTGCGCGTGAATCACCTCATCCTGCAGCCTGAACTGCACATCACCCGAGGTAGCTTCCTCGAACAAAGCTTGCACGTCACGATGCAGGGTCGGGTTTGGAACGTCCACCGCCTCTCTCTCAGACCGCTGGGACGTAACTTGGATTCCCAATTCACGGACTTCCAAAACCAGCTTCACCCTCAAAGTGTCGTCCTGCACCAACTCTGATTGCAGAAGCTGCTCATGAGTCAGGCCAAAGACGCCGATCTCCTGGGGGGGTGATCCCTCCGGATGAGGTTCCGGATGCACATCCGGGCCATAGGCTTTGACTTCATTCGCCGAGTGGTGGATCTCATCCTGTGTAGCACCCCACTGGACGAAGTCACCTGTGCTCCTCTTGGCATAAATGCTGTAGCGCAGTGCGATGGGCTCTGCACAGCCATATGCTACTATGGCAAGGGAGCCGCAGGGTCTCTCGCCACAGGCGGTTGTCATTATGACGGGGCCTGCTGAGGGACTGTAGACAAAGGAGAACACGAACTCGCCCAGGGAAAAGATGTCGGACTTTGCAACCTTTTTCCCTTCATGGCGAAGCGCTGTTTGAAGCCAAGACATCGGAAGAAGCTTCCATGTAAACTCTCCTTTCAAGATTTGGTGGCCAAAATTCGTGCAGGCATCACGCGCAACACCGTTCTTGCGGTGAGCCCAGACCGGCTGACTTTTTGCTGCCGAATCCACAAACATTCCACAATCGTCCGCGTCGATACTTCGTTTGTAATCTTCGTCAGCAACGTTTACCGTTTGCTGTTGGTCCAGCTCCACCTTGAGCTCTTCCAGCTCCCGTCGCAACCGCTGCCGCACCGTAGCGGCCTCAATCTCTTCGCAAATTTCCAGAGACCGCGTTCTGGCTGCCTGCAGCCTCTGTTTGGTGGTCTCGATCTCCGCCTGCAGCTCACTGGTTGTCATGTGTGCACCGCTGTCAGAAACAGGTTACCTGCGAGACAGCGTGGTGAAGCCCTCTACTTGCCGATTGTCGACATGAAGTTGGGAATGCAAACCTCAAGTAGCAACAGTGCAGATTCACAGTTGAAAGTGTCTCGAATGCCGACTGCTCCCTCCAAGCTTGCTACTGCAGATTTTATCGCTGATCTGCCTTTCTCGAGCCTCGTTGGTTGGACGAACACTGGAAGGTGCTGACAGGTGAAAAGCTGTGCCGAATGTGGATTGCAAACGCGATACTCTCGCGGCCCTGCTGGAAAACCTCAAGCCCTCAACCCCGAATCCTAAACCCTATAAACCTCTTGTGGAGTCGCTTAATCTTAAGACTCTGAAGCTTAAGCCCCTGAACCTGTGCCGATAGAGCATCAACTCTAAACACAAAATCAAGCCCCAAGGCGATTTGAACTAGTAGTCTCAACACCGTTAAGGGTAATCAGACCAGCATGCAAAACACAATGCTGCAGCGCGGCACTGCCTCGAGCGCCGGTGCCTCGTTGATGCCTGTGGTGCCAGAAGGGCGAGGCTCATCCAAGTATTCGGGGTTCAGAGCTTAATCCAAAACCCAACAAGAGCCTTCAACCTCAAGCCCGAATCGGCAGCGTGGACCGTTGGTGCCAAGGGTTTCTTCCAGCCTAAACACACATCCAGAAAGCGCAAGGACGACAAACACTAAGGATGAGGGTACTGGTGGTGGTGTGCTATCGCCATCGCATTCCTAGCCGTTGGCAGTTAGCCCTGCCGTTGTGACCAACATAAAAAGTAGTAACAATCATCATCTTCTTCCCAATCACGAGCACCATCATGATAAGGCTTCAGCTTGCTAAAAAAGTCACCAGTGGGCAAGCAGAAAAAGCCGCAGTCGCAGTGCTTGCTGAAAAGCAACCCGGAATCCTGATGCTAGATTAACTGCGAAACACGGTGTTCCAATAACATCGACTATGGGTCCAGAGATAAGGGCTTCAGGGTCATATTGACAAACTGATAACAGTAAGAGGGCAGTAGAATAACGACTACGACTACAACTACGAGCACTACGAGGATGGCAGAATAAGAACATTATTCAGCGAATATGAACAACCAGGATAAGGACAAAAATGTATAAGGGTAACCTGGTGAATACAAATACAACACCAATCATATTCATAAACATATTGATACTAACCTTGTACTTACCTCTCTCTGTAGTTCATACGTATATATATATATATATATATGTATATGTATGTGTATATATATATATGGATAGATATACACTGGTATGACGAAAGAGTTTAATCTTGAACATACTATTGATAAGGTTGACAACAGTATATGTCATCATGGTCATGATCATCATCGCCATCGTCATCATCCTTACCATCATCATCTCTGAACCCTACAGGGAACTCCAGAAAGTTAGAATATGGTTTCGTGGTAGGATACCCTATAATTTACCATAAAGGGTTTAGGATAATCATATTCCAACTTTCTGGCTTCCACTGTAAACCCTAAACCATCCGAACTCTGGGCACCCGGCCACTCAGATCGGCGAGTTCATTACCCGAGGCCTTAATTAGGTCAAATGAGGCCGGGTTTCTTAAACTCAGGACTAAGAGCATAGGGTTTAGGGTTTAGTATAGAGATCTCTTAAATTTCGGAGATATCTCAGGCCTCAGAGGTTCGGGCTTATGCATGGTATAGGGCGAAAATCCTGCTGCTTGGGGTTAGGGTAGGGGTCCTTCCCTTGAGGATCTTGATTTTTTTTTGGTCTGTATTGCAGGACGCCAGAGTTTCTGCTACTCCCAAATGTCTGTTGAACTTAATATAGCCTTGCTAATGGTCAGGCCGTTTATTGGGCTTTGTACTTTATTGCGAGTGCAATGGTTAGCATGCACAGGAGTGCGCGGATGCTGGTTTTACTGAAGTGGGACTCGGGTTTCATGGTTCCGGCCTCACGGCACCGAGTGCCGGATGCCCTAGAAACCCATGAACTTGGGCCCCGCCCTGAAGCAACGAACTCGCTCCCAAACCCGTGAAGAACTTGCCTCAAACCCTGAACTCCCTAACGCTGGCCCTGAGCCCTAAACGCTGCGGGTCAGGATTCCGCACTGAGGGTCCACGGTTTTGGGGTATACTTATAGCATTGTTACCATTAAGGAGCCCCAAGAAATGAAACAGCTAATTTTGTAGGCTTCTATAGATATAGTCATAATACCCCCTGTCTGCCAAAACTTAGAAAGTACGACATCCATTTACGAAAGATATAAAGGATTTAGATTTACGGATGATGATAGCACAATCACAGCAGTCTTCACTGCAGTAATGGCAGCATAGAGGAATAACCATAACTAGAGCAACATCTTCTCATGACAAGAAGACAAAAAGCATACGTAATAATACTCGTGATACTGCACATCAAGTGCTTCGCCTATACTTTGAGAAGCAGCAGGGAGTTCAAGATGGATCGAACGGCGAGTGTCCTTATACACCAAAGCCCCCAAGCCTCAAACCTACACCCTGATCCCCAAACAAGCGTTGATGAATGCATGAGTATCGGGGCAACGGGTGAAGGTTCAGGGTCGCGATTAGGGTTTAGAGTTCTGGGTGTAAGTTAGTAACAACCATGAGTAATTAAGGTTCAAGGTTTAGGGTATCAGGTTGAGGGAACGTGTGTGTTGGTAGTTCTGTTGGAAAGCTTGCTTTTGCCATGTTGTCAATCAAAACGGTGAGCATTCTTGGCATCAACGAGAGACCTTAGGAATACTGTTAATTATTAACTACTCCGGCTTCTGCAAACCCCCAAAGCTAAACTCCACACACCTAATTTCAACCCTCGACACTCAGCCCGAAATCGTTGACTTTTTCACAGCCTTTTTTCCAAAGCCGCTCACAGGTCGGCATTTTGTAACAGTTTGACATCCCTCGGCCTTCGTGTCTGCGTCCGCCGCTATACTCCGGACACTCCATGCGTCCATGTGCTGGTATTTAACTTAGGTTGTAGGAGTTAGGGTTACTAAGTCCCATGATCCTCCAGGTAGACCCTAAACCCTAAACCCTTATAGTACCCCTAGTAGATCCCTTTAAGGGACCCTTAACCCCCTACTTACTAATTTAGGGTTTCTCTGTACTTCGCCTGGAAGGATGGCCTGGATTGCCCTGACCCTTCCAGAGTTGTCTTCTGAACCCTGAGGCAGAGGGTTGCCTTGCAGCTTGAGGAGGGTCGTTTTCCCCAGTCGTCTAAGCAGTTCGCATCAATAAACATGTACTGTCAATCTTTGTGTTTTGATTTTGGTAAGATTTAAGTAGTGCTGAAAAGTCAGGGCCCTATCAGTCAGTTTCCTTAGGGTTTAACGGTTTAGGGTTTAGGGTTTTAGGGGTGTAGGGTTTAGGGGTTTAGGGTCTAGGGGCTTAGAATTTATGTCGAATCTCTGTCACTCCGTTGCCACTGCGCAGATGAAGGCAAAGACGGCCCCAAGGTTCATCAGGTCTAGCAACATCGAGATGCCATGGACCATTCCTTTCAAGCAGGACCGACAAGAGCTTGTTAGGGTCTGGAGTGTTTAAGCTTATTTCGATTTGTGATTCACCTTCTATTTGCCAAGACAGCTGTCAATCCTACGGCTTCGGCATCGGCGTTGCCTGCCCCGGTCCTAATCACTAAAGGTCTTCTTAGGCCATACTTTGTAAGTAATATAGGGGCCTCAATAAAAAGAATAGGGTGTTGGGGCCCATTATGCTACAAACAAAATAAGGATCCCCCAAAATAGTATAGGTAATTATTTAGGCCCCCATAGTAGGCGTTTAGGGTTTAGAAATTGGGCACAGGTGCGCCCCTCCGCAAACCCTGATGCAACGACGAACGTCGCAGCGAGGACTTGTTGAGCGAGCCGGCCATAGACAGATGCACAGTTTGAGGGTCTGAGGTTTGTTAGCATGCAGACACTTTATAGCCTGTCGTAACTTGTTTCACTTCGCTGCATATCCGGCAGGCTTGTGCTGGCATATCTAGCCTAGGAAGAGGGGCCTGCCACACCTGACATACACTAATGCTGCGACCCCAATAGAGCCAAATCCTCGGATGCAAGACAGCCACGCAACGCAAAACTAAGACCTGCATCCAAGCTCGAGATCTAGGCTAGACTCCAGACGTTGCGCGGTGCTTCTGAAAACTCTCTACCACTGCTATCGGCTATCGCTACTTAGTCCTCCTCGTCCTCCTTCTCCTCCTCTTCGTCCATCGCCAGCACTACCACCAGCACCACCCTAAACCCTATCTTGTCAAAGATGGCTTGCATCTCTTGTTTGCAGGGCAGGTGTCCGAACTTTTTCTTGGCTTCCTTGGACGCCTCACTGAGCAGCGGCGCGCTGCTCGAGGCGTCCTTGAGGTGCTGCTGGTAGAGGCTGACCTTTGCATCTTGCGGCTGTCTGCGTTTCAGGGTCAAAGGCCTCAGATTTAATAAAGGGCCTTAAGATTAGAATAGCGCTTTGGGGGCCACTATATTGCAAGTATAATGAGGAGCCCCCAATATATCCTGGGTAACTGTCTAGGCCCCTACATGACAGTTTAGGTTTTTGGGCTTCCAGGTTCAGGCCTTGGCTGAAGGGTTTAGGGCCCAGGATTCAGCATTGTGGTGATTCCACTTAGGGATACACGGGTTTAGGGTGCAGGGTTCCTGTTTTTGGTTACTTCCAACTCTCGAGCTGAGAGTGTAAGGGTTTAGGTTAGGGGTTCTGGAACGAGAAGTACTGGTTACTAGTATCAGTATCGCTTTGCAGTCCCTCTGTAGCTATACCAAAAATACCACAGGGACCCATTCTAGTTGTTCCAGCCCCTGCCGTACTGCTTTGGCTTGGATGGTTTGGGGCACAGTCTTTGAGGCTTTGGCAATCTCGTAGACGAGCATGGCAGGGAAGCAATGAAATCTATGGACCGAGGATTCGAAATCAGCCTTTAAATGACCTGAAACCGGCGCCCACATCCTTTAGCCCGAAAGCCCCCAGCAGAGATGGTGAGGGAATTTCACGAAGGGCTAGTGGTTCAGGGTTTAGGGTTTAATTTCCGGTTAGAACTTGTCGGAACTATGACTAAGGGAAAATACAAATTGTTCAAACCTCTGCATGAATCGTATTCATGGCTGAGGACCCACCACCCTGAACACTGAGTCGTACGAGCCCCGTGCCATAAGCTGGGTCGTCTTTGGTCCAAGACCAAACCTGTGTCATCAGCAGAGCGCACAGGATCTCGCCACATCAATTGAACTCTTGAGGCAGAAACCAAACTGTGCATCACTGCAGATGGCTTGTTTGTATTATGATGCTTTATTTCATCAGAAAGATGGCAGAAGCTCATGACCCCACCTTACCAGTATACTTACCAGTACCAACACCAGCAACAGTGCTCACCACCTCCTGATATGGGGGTTTCCGAAAATAGGGGACCCTAATGTAGTACCCTATATAGTAGGATCCTTGCTATATGGACCCCCAAAATAAGGTACCCCAGTTTCGGAAGATCCCATTTGGAAGCCCAGCGGCTGGTTGATCAGTGCCAAGACGATCGCTGCCATCATCGCAAGGTTGGGCACGTCCCACACGGGCGCAGTGGCCCAGTGACCGCCAAGAGCCGCCAAGCAGGCTGCCTGAAAAACACGGCTACTGTTTATCAAAGGGGAAAAGGAGGGATCCTTAATGGGGACCCCTACCCTATAATGGGCTATATAATGGGTATATAATAGCTATATTATTATTAAGGGCAGTATATAAAACGAATCCTTCTAGGAGATGCAGGTGAGGGTTATTACCAACACGTCCGCGGTGATGCTCTTCGTGGTTGCAAGTCTTAAACCCCAACCCCTAAACCCTGACCCCTAAACCCTAAACCCTTTTAGGTCTCGTGCCTCCGGAAACCTGAATCTTCCAAGTGAAAGGGATGAAAGTTTCCAGGGCGGCTGATTTCCAAGATATCCCAAACAATTCCCACAATAACAATCACCACGATGACGAGGGCGAGGACGACATAAATAGCTGGCGATGATGACACATCCAATCAGTTGCATGCCGCGGTAGAACAGCTATGAAAGTCCGGAACATTATCACTGGGATTGCTTGCTTTACATAGCTGTACAGCATCAACCTATCATGATCTAATCCGCCGAGATCACCAAATCATATTCTGTAAAGACCCGGGCACAGTCTGCAGCGCGAAGAACTCTGGGAAGCACGCGGCCTGCATGCAACTGCCCGGAACCGCCAAACCGCTAAAGTCTTAGTGTAGGGTCTATGCGGTTTAAGATTTGGGAGTTTCCGAAAATTGGGGTACCTTATTTGGGGGGGTCCTTATAATAAGGGTCCTACTATTTAGGGTACTCTTTTAGGGTCCCCTATTTTCGGAAACTGCCATTTCGGGAATGTTAAGGTTCCAGGGTCTGGGGTCTACGAACCAAGGTCTCATTGCTTACCTTTGGTTAGTTAAGGGGTCTATAAGGGTTACTATAAGGGATCTATAAATGGGTACTATAATATGGGGGCCTTAATAATCCTGTAACTTACCTTTGGTTAGTAGGGAATGGAGGAATCGGGTACAATTATGACTACTATTGCTACCATTCTTCCATTCCCTACTAACCAAAGGTAAGATTATGACTTGTTTGGGCAGCATCGATAAACAGTCGGCAAAATGTTGCACAACTCGCAGGATTCACAGCGAATTGAATTCCTAATGATTAGAGTGTGGTGGTTGGGGTATGGACTCTTGGGGAGTATCACTCCTCGCTCAGGCCCCTGATCTATCTATCGATCTATCTATCTATATAATCTATCCATATATATATATATATATATATATGGGTGGTTGTCAAAATTATGGTCCTTTTTTGGGTCCCTACTATAGTACGGCACCTAATATTCAGGGTACCCAAAAAGGGACCACAATTTTGACAACCACTCATATTATAACGAAAATAAGCTCAGATTTGTATGACCAGCAGAACCTCTGGCCTTCTCGGGAAGCTGGCAGGAGACACGCAGGATCTTGAATACACCCTCTGACTTACCCGAAGGAGCCATCGGGGAACGCGCCCAATGCCAAGAATACATAATATAGCACAGGTGCACGACACTTCATCGTTGGCGATGACACCGGCACTTTACTCCTTACCATGTGGTACTCTCAAAGGTGCGCGGTATAGCATGTAAGGCTTCGTGCCTGGAGTGCAGTGTTTTGGATTTAGCTTCTATCAGCCTTTCAGACTTAGGTGTACTGGGCGAGCCTGAAGAGTACTGAAAGCTTCCTTGCCGAGCCAGCGCGACTCCTCAGGAGGTTTGCGAGCCTAAACCCTAAAGCCCAAACCCTAAACCCCGAACGATAAACCTCAAACCGTAAACCCGAAACCCCAAACCCTAAAACCCAAACCGTAAACCCCAAACCCTAAACCCTAAAGTCCCTAAACCCCAATCTGTAAACCCTAGACCTTAAACCTCACCCTAAAGTCCCTAAACCCCAATCTGTAAACCCTAAACCTTAAACCTCAAAGCGTAAACCCTAAAGTCCCTAAACCACAATCTGTAAACCCTAAAGTCCCTAAACCCCAAACCGTAAACCCTAAACCCCAAACCCTAAAGTCCCTATAGAGTTCACGGAAAACTCGAACCCTGAACCCTTCAAAGTCCGCTTCTCGGCGTAGTTCCTAGGGTTTTCAGGTAGGCTTTAAGGTTTAGGGCTTAGGGTTTTAATGTTTCAGGTTTCCGAGTGAGTGCAGCTGCAGGTTACGTGTTGCGGACGAGGTGGGTCAACTAATGCAAGGAAGCCCTCACCGAAAGGCTGACAAACCCACAGCCAATAAACCAAGCCCAGAAATCAAATCCTGGAACTCTCAGGTGGCAGATAGGCACAGGATGATACACTCGATTTTCCAGATTTAACGCTGGCTCCTTGCAGCAGACTGCGTACATCCGTGGGCCATATCGCAAGAGCCACACCTTCGGTGCTGTATTCACTCCATAAGCCAGATCTCGACACCTTTTCAGTAAAACCTCCCACACGACATCTCCAAACACGAAACCCGAAAACCGAACACTTTGAACCCAAAACGTTTTTGGGTAACTCCGCATCAGTGTGGCTTGCAGAAGTGCATATCGACCCGGTTAGTGCAACCCTGACAGCAAGGGCTTAGGCTCCACATTCTCTTACTTAAAGGGAACTCCAGAAAGTTGGAATATGGTTTCAGGGTAGGATACCTTATAATTTGGCATAAAGGGCTTAGGATAATCCTATTCCAACTTTCTGGCTTTTACTTTAGGGCCTAGGCTCAGGATTTCACCTCACTAAGGCTGCCAACCTTCTTATGACGGAGACTCATCACCCGGAGGTAAGGTTTAGGGTTTAGGGTAAGTCCAGACAGCTGAGGCTGCAGACACTTGGGGAACACCTGCGAGCAACAAAGCCCTAAAATGCCAACTCGGCCCCAAGCCCTACACCCTAAACTTAGACTTGCAGCTGCAAAAACAGCTGCGAAGCTCGTGCTTCGCACTCAAAGTGTACAGTTCTCTGAGAATTAGGCGGACGCCGTTCCGAGGCCAGCTTCAGCTTCGTTGTAATCTTACCTTCGGTGAGTAGGGAATGGAGGAATGGGGTACAATTATATCTACTATTACTACCATTCTACTACCATATTACTATCATAATACTACCATATATCTACTATTACTACCATTCTTCCATTCCCTACTAACCAGAGGTAAGCAACTAGTTTGATCTTGAAAGCAGCGACTCCGAACTGAGCGGGATCATGACCGCTTGCGCGGAGAAGGCGCATTGCTGCCAAAAGCGTAGGCTGCGCCAAGGAAGGACACAATCTTGCAGATTCCTCGGAAGCTCTTCACACTGGTTTTAGTATACCCAGAGGCCCCAAAGTAGTTCCCTTTTGGGCTTACCTTATAGGATTAAACATATGAACCACAAAAAGGAACTACCTGTAGTCTCCTTTGTAGTTCCTTTTTTTGGTTAACCAAAAGCTCTATTGTAGGGTCCTAACCATAAAATTGGATAACCAAAAAAAGGAACTACAAAGGAGACTATAGGTACCACTGGTTCGGGCATGCATGCAGGGAACTCAGGGCCACTACCATTTCTGCTGCATTTGTAGGCACCTAAACCCCCAAACCCCAGGCCGAACTTATTCCAGCAGCACCTGTACTCATGACAGCTATGAGGATCACAGTAGGTTTTTGTCGCAGTATCTGTCGGTTTTGTGATTGCGGTCTTGTCTTTGCTTTATCTCTTCGCTATGCATCCTGCCAGTGATCTTGTTCATGCGGCCAAATGGGTGGTTGTCAGAATTATGGTCCCGTTTTGGGTCCTTATTAAAATACGGCATCTTTCACTTAGGGTACCCAAACAGGGGCCATAATCTTGACAACTACCCAAATGAAATGCTGCGCTGTCGGCCTTAGCTTTGTTTTCGTCGTTGCAGCAGTAGTAGCCGCAGCAAGAGCAGTAGCAATACAAGTAGCAGTACAGCAGCAGCAGCAGCAGTAGCAGCAGCAGCAGCAGCCGCAGCAGTACAGCAGCAGCAGCAGCAGCAGCAGCAGCAGCAGCAGCAGCAGCAGCAGCAGCAGCAGTACAGCAGCAGCAGCAGCAGCAGCAGCAGCAGCAGGAGCCGTGCCAGTAAGAGTAGATGTACGATTAGCAGCAGTAGTAGTCAAACGCAGGAGTGGAAGCAACAGCAGTAGTGGTAGCAGTGAGAGTAGTCGTCGTCGTCAGTGGTAGTAGGCATCGTCGTTGTCGCTGCTGTTGCAAGCTGTGTGTTAGAAGCTGCCCCCACCCTGTAATAGTGACCATAAGGATTATATAGGATTACATTAGGGCCCTATTATATTCCTATTATACCACTATTACAGGGTGGGGGCAGCTTCTAAGCTATGTAGCACTTTGGGCTGAGAGTTATCGGCGCTACAGCTGACCACATTAGACTGGCACCTCCGACAGTCCGAAAGCACCTTACCAATATGGGAGTTTCCGAAAATAGGGGACCCTAATATAGTACCCTAAATAATTGGATCCTTATTATAAGGACCCCAAATAAGGTACCCCTAATTTTCGGAAACTCCCGTATGAGAAACAAGGAAGTACCATCAGCTACTGCGAGAACCCTACAGCCAGCAAGAAGGGCCGAAGGGCTGCGGTCTGCAAACTGAAGAAGCAGGGATAGCAGCAAGGCCGGCAGCACCTGAGAGTGATGCTAAGTCTTGGAAGTTCTCGATGCTTCATTTTCGGTGTTTCATGTCACATCCTAACAACTGAACCTTAATCGAGCAGCATTAGTCCCGAAGACCTTCACGTAGGAGAACGAATCTGATCGTTTAGCTGGAACCCTCCTAGCAACAGCAACGAAGCCATGGCGTCAAATATACAACGCCTCGAGAAACAACGTGCCTTGGAACCGAATGCAACTTTACCTCATCATGCACAAGAAGAAAACACAAAGGATAATGGCAGTAAGTAATAATATCAGCAACAGGGCTCGTAGTGAACACCGGCGGCATTATTGCGAACCATGCAATATCAGTAGCAACAACTACAAGTCATTCATACATAAAGGACTCTTAGCTCTTTAGTGCGTAGGCTACAATTAGACTCAGACACATAAGGAAAAGAACTAAAACTATCCTAGCTTTAATCCTACTCAGAACCTACTTACCAGGTCCCTGATCCTAAACCCCAAACCCCCCCAAACCCTAAAGCCCAGATAGGAACCCTACAAAGCTACTAGGATTCCCTGCAGGAGCGCTAATTTTAAAAGCCGACAGGGAGCGCCCCTTAAAAAACAAAACTGAAGAGGCTCCGCGGGTTCCTTCTCACTTGGAACTTGCAGACAATGTGGGATCTTCACATTCCTCACTGATCATGCACGCCTGCCAGGCATACATGGCTCATGGGAAGCCCGATCTACGGAAGGGCCCCTTCTTCATGCTCATCAGCGAATGAGCCCTGTGTCACTCATCACATTACCATGCAAGCCCAACAAAACTCTTCAGCAGCTCATTGAGGATTGGACCTATGAGCAAGACACGGGAGAGGTTACGGCACTCGTCAGACCCCCACCGATCCTGAGCATTCAGCTTATGCGATTCAGTGGGGACCTCAGAGGCCAAGTCGGGAAACTGCAACACAGAGTTAACCTCTCACCACGGCTGCAGGTGCCCACATTCACCGATGGTGTTCACACAGAGCCCTGCATCTATGTGCTCAACTCGGTAGTGTATCACATCGGATGCACTCCGGACTCAGGCCATTATCGCTCAATGGGTGTTTCGGCCCCCACGGGGGAGCCGACTGCTGCCTTCTACAGTGAGCTCCAAAGGAGCCTTGCCGAGGACGACGCCCATCCGGCCCTCCATGTACAGAACGATGACACTCCGACTGTCGTAGCTAACTCTACTGACCTAAATGAGATCAGTAGGACGTGGTACTTAGCTCTCTTTTCATGGCCGCAATAGTCGGCCTGCCGCCCTGGGAAGCGGCATCGTAGTAGTCCGGCGTGCCTGAAAAGGCCGTTCCTGTATCCATTCGCTGATACGGGTACGTAGCGCCCGCTGAATAGTCGACTCGACTAAAGCGTGTGAATGAATGAAAAAGACAATGTGGGACCAATGCAGACCCTAAGTGGCAGGATCCTTCTCATAAAGACCCACCCTAAACCCTGATCCAAAAAAAACCTAAACCCTAAACCCTGATCTTCAAAACCCTAATCCAAAAAAACCCTAAACCCTAAACCCTGATCTTCAAAACCCTACTGCAAACAAACCCTAAACCCTAAACCCTGATCTTCAAAACCCTACTCTAAAAAAACCCTAAACCCTAAACCTTGATCTTCAAAACCCTACTCCAAAAAAAAACTAAACCCTAAACCCTGATCTTCAGAAGTCTCCACATCGCTGCCCAGGGGCCAGATGCGCTGCAAGGCGGTAGAAGGGCTCCGTCCGGCCGTACTCCTCCAGGCTTGCTGAAGAGTTTTGACTTAGGATTTTTAGGGTTTGGGGTTTAGGGTTTGGGGTTTAGGGTTTCGGGTTTGGGGTTCAGGGTGTAGGGGGTCTGTGTGTGTGTGTGCGCGTGTGTTTGCGTGTGTTTGCTACCAGCGGAGCGGGTGGGGGATGATTTCTTGGGGTTACGGATTAGGGCTTGGGATTTGAGGGCTTTGGGTTTCGAGAGTTCCATACAATAGTGTTGCGCAGCTTGGCAGTGTAGCTTCGGCTTTAGGGCAGTACTACCGGGCATGTGGGGCTGCTGTGCTATATACGGCTATCCCAACTCTAGAACTCCTTCGCAAAGACTGCACGAACAACTAGGGACTGTAAACGTGCCCTGCGACAAAAGGTGCACCGTGAACAAAACGGTACAATATAGAGGCCATCATGACTGAACAGGCTTTGGGGTGCACCATCGTGGCTGTACATGGGCCCATACCGGGATAGCAGTATACACCAGTTATTGACACAAGGCTCCCATATCCCTGCCTTCGGATTTCGTTTTATCAATGGTCCCCACTTGTGCCAAGTAGCAATTAGTCTCTCTTTCTCAGCCCCACAGTCTCTAAACCCCATGCAAGCTATGCTATAGGGACATGAACTGGGTGAGCCCTTTATAGCCTGTGAAAAATATTCGTAAATCGGGCCCTAGTGAGCCGGATAAGGGAAAATACAAAACATCCCAGAAGGCTACCTAGTTACTATCGCCTACCCCCCGGAACCCTGAATCCGGCTATAGCTCAACTACACTAAACTCATAAAATCCAGTAACCCCAAGGCCCAAATTCTAAGATGCTCAAGCCGGAAACAGGAAACCACAAGCCTGCATAGAAGCCCCGTCTTGACAACAACATCCACCGTATCCCTATTGAGAGCAACAGCGGAATCAGTAATAACATTGTACAGCACCATAAAATCCAGAAAAAAAACAACAGAACATCATACCACGATCCCCTTCCGCCAAAAACAAAACCCTGAACCCAAAACCCTAAACAAGAGAGAGAGAGAGAGAGAGAGTCCTACGGATTTTGGTGATGTTTCGCTCCTCAGGGATTTCGTGGCCGCTCAGGGACTCATCGGCCATGGCTTCTAAGGTCTCGGGGTTAGGACTTCGGGTTGGGTTCGTTCTACATAAACAGATGGGAGCTCCATAGAATTATTCCTGTAGATAGGAGCTCTGGGGCTTCTTGGGGATTTAGGGTTTAGGCGGTTTAGGGCTTCTTGTTCCAGAGGTTTCAGAACCCAAAAGAGTTTAGGGTTTAGGGCTTCTTGTTCCAGAGGTTTCAGAACCCATAAGAGTTTAGGGTTTGGGGCTTCAAGTTCCGGAGGTTTCAGAACCCATATGCCAGAAGCTCAAAGCTTTGAGGCTCACGGCAGATTGAAGTTGAGTCCAACTGCACGGATTCCTGTCTCGCATCAACCTGTCTCTAGGTTCTTCCACTCAAATGAAAGAGCCGCTAAATTTCGGGTTGTAGGTCGGGGGAGTCGAGTTCGGAGCTGAAGCTTCCGGCCCTGAGTGCATGCGGGAGCAGTGCAAGGCTCCAGAAGGAGTCCCTGAGGGTGTCCATCAGGAAATTTAATCAAATTCTACAGTAGAAGCCAGAAAGTTGGAATATGGTTTCAGGGTAGGATACCTTATAATTTACCTTAAAGGGGTTACGATAATGATATTCCAACTTTCTGGCTTTTACCTTAGTTCCTGGCTTCTACAATAAGGGGTTCTGTAAGGCTGGATCTGTCAAGAAAATCTACTTAGTCTACTTGTCAGCCACATAAAGCCCAAGATCATTCGACATACTCCCATAGTAGGCGTAGGCGATCAGCGACTAAGCCCACTCGCTCGTGCTTGCGGCCCGCATCCTAAAATCATACTCCGGACGGACCAAGTTCAAGAGACTCTCACTCTTAGGGTTGAGGGTTTAGGGTTTGGAGTCATTCGGTCTTCACACGCACGACGCACTTAGCTCGGACTATCGCAAGCTCTGTCCCCACAACCAATGAGCTCTTGCTAGATTATCACTGCATAAACCGCACGTTTTGATCCCTCATAGCATGGTCTCTTGAAGGGTTTAGGGCTTGTAGGGTCTCGAGTTTGGATTTTCCTAACGTCTGAAGAAAGGAACGAGTCCCCTAACAGTGGCTGAGCACCCCGGCGTTCAGCGATGTCAGTGAGGGCAGAGCCCCTAAACCGGTCAATGTCGTCAGCTTGTTCCTCAATGGGTTCGGTGTGGGATTTCGGATTAAGGATTCCCTCATTGACTGGTCTGCAATAAGTTGAGGTCGGTATGGAAACCCGTTCGGACCAAATACACGCAACCTCTCTCAACCCAGGCTCATGTTCTCAAGATGCAAGCCATCAAACCCTGAGTATCCAGATCCATCGCAATCCCGGAAACCCTGGAACACACGCCTGTGCTTCCAGAAGTGGGCTGTTGGGGCAGAGGGTTTAGGAGGTCGAAATGTTGATCACTGATCAACTATGGGGGTGACCTTTCTACGCAAGTGCCTTCCATGAACAAACCCTTCAAGAAAAAGACTGAGCAATTGCCCGCGGGTTGCAGCCCGTGGCCAAGTGCACTGATCGAGATCCGTGTGTATATCGTTGGGCGGTCTCCCACACTAAGCCACCCTAAGCCACCCCCAACACATGCAGATAAGCTGAAAGCTACGCAGGCTTGCAGCCTATACTGATTTTATACGAAAATTCAAAAAGAAAGGATCTGATCTTAAAGCAAAGATGTTTAAGAATTTCATACACCCCCAGAAGAAAGACGCTTGGTGACTGCCAGGGATGAGCTCCAGGCTGCGACAAGTCCAGAGTACTCAACTTCTCGTGGCCTTGCGACGAGATATCCCAACCCTAAACTGCGAGCCTTGAACCTGAACCCTGATAAACAGCCATTGACTATAAGCCCTTATAGAAAATCTCATGAAATGCCGTTAAAATGGCCTATTAAACGTCATGAAGCCTTAGCCAGCCCATACACCAACCCCTGCTCACCCTAAAACGTGGCTCGTCCTAGAAGTCGGGTTTCTAATCTAATGAGACGTTAATTCCACAACTGCAACCTACAGTCCTGCAGGAAGACTTACCCGGGTAAACCCTTGAAAGCCATATGCACTAAACCGAGACCCTAAAACATCTACATTAGAAGGGGCCCACACCCATAGCGACTATAAGGATTATATTAGGGCCCTAGTATATTCCTCTTATACCACTATTACAGGGTGAGGGCCCCTTCTAACATCTACAACAACAAATATACCTTCAACCCTCAGCTGTGTATCAGCGGTATCTCACTGTGCTCGGCTACTGGCTTCGGGGTCCTAGCATTCTGAAAAAAAATACTGTGCGTTACGGCTCTTGGGCTTTTGGGCTTGGGATTGAGCGTTTGGGTTTGGGGTACAGAAATCTGGGGTTTTAGGGCGTCGGGCGAAGAGTTCAGAATTGTGTGAGGAAATGGCCCTGGGGGCTACTTCGGAAGCTGCCCAAACCCCCTGTCCATGCTCCAAGCCCCCTAAACCCTAAACCCTAAACCCTAAGCCCTAAACCCTAAACCCTAAACCCTAAACCCTAAGCCCTAAAGCCCTGAACTCTAAGCTCTTCACCGGTCTCACGGGGGTTGGCTTAGGGTTTTGGGGTGCAGTGCTCTATTCTTTGATGGGTATTTTCCGAAAATGGGGGACCCTAATGTAGCACCGTAAATAGTAGGATCCTTATTACAAGGACCCCAAAACAAGGTACCCTAAATTTTCGGAAACTCCCATGTTCTATGGTTCCACTGCTGGTTTGGAGCCTGCCCACATGTTAACATGCTGGGCACCAGGAGTGTCTCCGCAGCAGCATGTGTGCCGCGGTCATGCAACACTGTACATGCCTGCATTCCTGCACCCAAACCCTGCAACCGACACGTTAGGCCTTGGAGCCAAAATCTCAAGGCCCCCAGAAGAACATAAATTCTGCCATCAGGGAGAAACCAGCCCCGGAGACTGTTCAAATCACCATGACGAGTTGACATTCCAGAATTGGCGATTCATGCTTGCTTCTGCAACAGCCTAGGCCCAAACTATCGCAGCACCGGTTTGGATACAGGCATCCAAGGCGGCTTAGCCAGCCAAGTCGGTCAGGCGACGCTGCTTCAAAACTCTTTACAGCTAGCTCGAATTCTCGCCATGGCCTTGCGACTTTACTTTGGGCCATGCGAGCCTATGCAGCTTGCGAAACCTCATGATCGGCCTGAACGCGTATTCCTTAGGGTTACCTCTTACATATATACTATCCTAGATCCCGAAAGCCTATTCTGAAGTTAAGAACATGAGCCAAAGGCTCATTTATGGGCCTGGATCCTGTAGGATTGCAAGTTGCAGCTGGGGTACTTAGCCCTGTAGACTAAGGCTTTCGTGTCTGAGCACTGGGGAAGTGGGTTCAGGACTCATCGAGTTCCACCCAAGTAGAAGGGCCTTAATGATGATAAGAGGGTTTTGGTACTACAAAGGATACGTCTTTAGAAACCATGCCGGGACATTGTTACTTATTCTTCAGCCCCGATGTTCGCCGCCAACCTGAACCTCAAACCACCAGTGGAAGAAAAAGGCGCAGGACGATCCACAGAGCGAAGGCGGCGAGGACATTCGTCAAGACGCCAACTTTCGCCATGCTCCCCATGTCCACATGTCCGGTCTCCTAAGTTTGTGACGGTTTAGGGTTTAGGGTTTAGGGTTTAGGCTTTAGGGTTTATAGCTGGCGGGACGGACGTAAAGACTCCGATTAAGGCGATCAAGGACTTCGAAGCCAATCCGCAACGAAGCCTTGAAATGACAAGACACCCTGCGGCAGGGATGGTAAGAGACAAGATTTACAAAAACAGTAACACTGTCAGCGGCTGGAAGTGTAATCGTAATACCACTCAAAGTAGTCTCGGAGCGGACCACCCCAGAATGAATTCTGTAACAACAGCACGTGCATAGCGAAGCAGCACATGTCATCAGCATAAAGAAGACTGGAACGAACACAAGCCACATGTTGGAGCCCGATTTGTAGACAAGACGAGCCAAATGGACTTTACACGGCATATCCTACACTGTGGACCATGTCTTAGGGCTTATGCTTTAGGGCTTCAGGGTTTGTAGTTGCAAGGGTCCCCTTTTTGTGGCTTGGACCACAAAGCCACCGCATAATCCCTTCGAATCACTACCAAAGGCAAGCGCTCTGGTATTAACGGCTATTGAAGTTGTAGGAGAAGCAGATTACACAGTGCCAGAGGATTTCGAGAATCACGGGCCCTCGAAAAGCCGTTCCGCATTGGAGTTCATTACGGCTAGCAAACACTGGACAGGCAGCGTGTGGAACCTACCAACTGCCTGTCCTTCTTACTGCAAAACGGCAAACCATGGCAAACCCATAACGAATTCAGCATGGCGAGAGAAGCAGGACGAATGCCACCTGGCGTCCACGATGATGTAGTTGGGCGGCGTGGCGATGGGAAGCATGAAAGCACCTGGATGCTAGCCAGAGTCTGCAACCGACACTTGCGGCGGCAGTTCAGTAAACACGAGTTGCTAATTGCTCTGAAGGACTGAGCCCTACTCCCCCGGTGTAAGGTTTAGGGGTTTAGGGTTAAGGGTTTAGGCTTTACGGTTTAGGGTTTAGGGTCGCCAAAAATGAGCCTCAAGTTGAAAGAATCACAATGCAAATGTACGTGAGCCCTTCAGGCTGGAACCACAGCAAGAGACAACGCCTTCTGGTGCTTGACGGTACTGTCGGGCCGTTGATGATTAAAGGACCCCCCTTATACGGAGTTCTATGGAAGTCCAAGGAGCAGCTCGCTGCCAAAGCCACACCCACAGCCGGCGCGGCTGCCAGGCGTGGATCCGGGTTTATCGCCTCGACGTCGTGAAGGTTTGGGCTTTCGGGTTGACGGTTTAGGGGCTAGGGATTTGGGCTATTTAGGGTCTGAAGTTTAGGAGGGCTTGGGGGATAGGGTCTGGGGACTAGGGTCTGATCGCCTTCCGAACCCCAACAGTTGGAAAATGAGTCGTGGAGAGGGAGGCAGCGATTGGGGTCGTACAGTTATGACTTATGACCATGTTCATACGGATGCAGAGAATGCCTGATGATAACGATGCTGATGACCATGTCGATGATGGTGATGATGATGAAGAAAGCTGGTGATGATGATGATGATGATGATGATGTCGGCCAGGACGCCGCCCTACTTCAGTTAGTTGTAACCTACATGCCAAGTCCCCCACCCTAAACACTAAACCCTTGTTAGAACCCTCACAAGAGACCTCTAAAGGAAGCCAGGTGCTTTTACGTAGGTCGTAGCTCCAGAACCCCACCCTCTTCCGCCCGGCTTTAGAGTTTTTAAGGTTGAGGGATCGGGTTAATCGGGTTTGGGGTTCAGGGTTTGGGGTTCAGGGTTCAGGGTTTAGGGTTTAGGGTAGGACCGGGTTGAAGGTTTAGGGTTTAAGGTTCAGGGTTGAGGGTTTGGATTTCAGCGGCCGTGCCTTGCTGATTGCCATGATCATGGGGACCATTAGACTCGTAGTCGCGGTATTGGAGGTCACTTCGGTCAGGAAGATGGTGCACCTGGATGCTGCAACTGAGTTGCACTGTTTAGTGTTTGGGAATAAGTCTTTATGAACTTTGCATTGACCTGGATTCTGTAGCCGGGTCTGCCCTCCTGTTGCGCGGCTGTTGCAGTGCAAAAGAAGGATCCCCTAAACAGTGGCTATGGGATAGGTAGAACAGACACGTTTTTGCAGTGTCCATGTCACACCTAAGTCTTCACGCTTAAATATCCGACCCGAACAGTAGCCAAAAGTAAAGAGAAATTCAATTCCATAGTATGGATGGTAACGCTACATAACCGGGTCCACTATACAGGGTACCCAATGTCACGGACGAATTTCAGTCGACGATCATTGCAACGTAGGCATGGAGATAAAGACTTTTAAGCATAAACCAGGCTGCTCTTGAAAAAGGACTTGCGAATGTGGAACTGTGGGCTTACATACGACGTGAGACCGTAGCAGCTAGAGGTTTATGATCGGTGACACTCAAGTTGAAAAGGCCCATGCCCTGCCCTAAACCCAAAACCCTAAACCGTAACCCTAAACCATAAACCCTAAACCTTGAACCCACAATGGCTGAAACCTCGCCACCGGGACCGAAGAACCCTAAGATCTCTATCGCGCTCGTGTGCTCGAGTTTTGGGGGATTTAAGATGAAGCTCGCCTGGGTAGTTGAGTAGGAACTATCTGGGTAGTTGTCAAAATTATGGTCCCTAATGGGGTACCCTAAATACTAGGTGCCGTATTTCATTTTAGGACCCCAACAAGGGACCATGATTTTGACAACCACCCATGTAGCTGGTAGGATCTCGTGTCGTGGGCTGAGTTCTCGGGAACCGGGGATCCGAAGTCACACACTTATCTAGGTGGGAGTTTCCGAAAACTTGGGGGGACCTTTAAAGGGATGCTTTAAGGGTTCCTATAAAGGGATCTGTAAGGGTTCTATAAAGGGTTTAGGGTTTAGAGCTTCCGAAAACTTAGGGGTACCGTATTTTGGGGTCCTTATAACGAGGATCCTACAGTTTAGGGTTACTATATTAGGGTCTCTATTTTCCGAAACTCCTAGGTAGCTTTGCCATGGGATAGGTCCCCCTAGGCAACACACAAAAATGCCTCTTGTGCGCGTGCTAGGGCGAGTCACAGGATGCCGACGAGAGCCAGCAGCCAGACGCTCGTGATGCCAGTGACGGCTATCCTCAGGGCTCTTTGGGCTACTGGTTCGGGTGAGCTTATATAAGGGTTCCTTTAAGGAGGGGTACATAGGATATGTAGTTTAAGGGATCTGCAAGGCTCATAAAGGGATCCTTTAAGGGTAGAGGGATATTGTTGGGTCGGTCTTAGGGTTGGGGCTTCAGAGCTTCGGGCTCAGACGTTCAGAGGGTTTGTTGTTTTTTAACTCCTTTTTCCAAGAGGCAGCAGTCTGCAGCTTCCTAGAAGGCCAGAAGGCCAGGAGCTTAGAGTTTTCAGGTTTAGGGTTTTCGCGGATACTACGTCACAGCTTTTGGGACGACACTGAACCTTGATACACAAACGGAGCCCTGCACAGGACCCCGAACAACCGCAAAGAAGCAGCCCTGCTCTAGCCTTCTGGATTTGTCGACCAATGTCGCAAGTAATCAGGCAAAGAAGAAACTGCTTCTTTCGGACAAAAGATCTCCGACTCAAGACTGTCCTACAAGAACACGGAGCCAAGCAACAGGTACGCCGCAATCGTATCTGCCAAGCCAGTGGAGAGCATCCGCTTGCCTAGGACCACGCCGCCACCAATCCTTGATTCATTGATGCCTACACTGACCTTGTTTTTTGGTGTAGGAGTGAAGGGCTTAGGGTTCGAATTTCGAAACCCTAACTTCTGAACCCTCATGCAGCAGCTCGGGGTTGAGGTCTAGTTTGTCTGCTTGCTTGCTACCGTCCCAGCGAGAAAAAAGCAGCACAGTGTAGATAGAACCAAAAGCTTCAAGTGCTATTGTTTGGTATAAGTAAGTGCATCTGGGACTGCTCTGGTATCCTTTTTGAAAAGGGGACATGGTAGATGTAGTGCCTTCAGCAAGGAGTCGCCGGACCTACCGGCTCCCAGAACAGGAAGCTTTCTTGGGGATGAGAGCTCCAAACGGGAAATTTTTCAAACAACAAAAAACGAGAAAGTGGTAGGGGTTTAAGGTTTAGGGTTTAGGGGGTTTGGGAGTATTCTGGGACCTTGGGAAGAAGAGCTGGTCTGATGTCAAGGCGTGAGCTTTACGTTCCAAACCTCGGGTTCAGATTTCGGCCATCTCTTCGAGAGCCTTGGGCCCAGAGCCTTGGGCCCGTGATGAGAACCGACAGCTTTCAAATAAACCTCTGAGTTTGTATCTTGAAAAGAGAAAATGCAAGAAATGGAGTTGTTTTTGAGGGCTCTTTTCCAACTGGTTAGAGCGGGAATGAAGAAATGGAGTTTAGGGTTTAGGGTTATACCCAGAACTTGCGCCCCAGTGTCAGCATGATGATGCCCCAGTCTGCCTTCTGCGCTGTCGACCAGGGCATCACCCGGCAGTTGCCAGTGTCCGGGATCAGATACAAGGGCACAGTGCCCAGAATCACGGATATCCCAGCCTTCAGCTTGCTTTCGAGCTCCTGTAGGGCAAGAGACCCCAAAATCGTGTAATCAACCCTAAAGCCCCGGCTCCCTAAACAATTAAACCCTAAACCCTGACTCCCTAAACCTTCTAAATCCTAAACCCTGAAGCCTTCGAGCCCTAAACCCTAGGACCTGCACACTCTGGGATTCGGCTGCCTGATCTGCGCCGGAATCCCTGCTTACTCCACACCAGATACCGGGTTGCGATAATGGCAACGTGAAGATCGTTGGAGCCCCGAAGTATCATGCAAGATTCGGTGTAGGGATGTGTAGGGTTTCATCTCTGAGTCCTGCACCCTACGATCGTATAAGGCTTTTGGGCTTCAGGGCTTAGGGCTTTGGGGTCTAGCGAAACTCCAAACAGCTAAGCAAAACCCTAAGCGGATATCCTGGTGGCCGGGTCCATGTACTCATATAGCATATACATTGGCCTTAATGTAGTCCCCTATTTGGGTATCTCTATATGGGTACATGGTCCCTTAGGGTCCTGGTGTACATTGGCCTTAATGTAGTCCCCTATTTGGATATCTCTATATGGGTACATGGTCCCTTAGGGTCCTGGTGGCCGGGTCCACCAGCGAGGCTGTAGATGGATGGGATGATCCACAGCCCGAGGGTGAGTAGAAAGCTTCCCAGGACCGCCTGCGAAAAGACTTCTGGGCTTTCCAAGGGATGGAAGCTTGCCAGGCGAAGTCTCTAAGTGGTTTAGGGTTTAGGGCTTAGGGGTTTAGGGTTTAGGGGGTTAGGGGTTTAGGGGTTTGGGGTTTGTGATTCCACAACGGCCTTTCAGATACCGGGGCTAGTGTATGGCCTGGGGTCACCAGCACTATCTTGACCGCCGCTCTTGAAATCGCAAAACCGTACACCGTGAACCCTCATATTCTCTCTCCTTCAATAACCGGGCCCAAAAAAGTTTAAACTTTCTAAGATAGACCAAATATATAAGGCCAAAAAGTTTAAAGTTCCCCCATTGGCTATCTAAGATTATTTTGTCAGGATGGCTACCACCGTCCCCTGCCTTTTCCCCGCGCGTCCATGCCACAGGGTGCGAGCTGTGCAGCACCTTCCACATGATCATGCGAATGTTCTGGGTTCCTAACCAGTCTAGGGTAGATGTTGAGGGGGACAGGGCGTAGACTGTAGGGGACTTCGGATGTAGAGATTACGGCTCTCAGGCTTTACTTATGGCGTAGGCCTCGAAGTTATGGGTTCCAAACCCTCTAAATCAAACTTCGTGGCGCAACTTACCAACGTTTCATCCCAAATGTTGGCCCCCTCACGGCTTCTTTTCACGGAGACTCTTCTCTACACCCGGGAACCTCCACATTCGCAGCTGTCTGCGGGCGATAGCATAGGAACCTCGTGATGCACAGTGTGGGACTTCTCCAGGCGGTGGGGTGTACAGCCTCAAAGACTGCAATGCTCGGGTGAGCTACTCTCTTCTATCATGTGCGAGGTATGAAGTTCAGCCAGCAAGCTGCTTCGGAGAACAAAGCCCTGCAGGTACGCTTTACGTCAAACTTTAACTTTACGTCTCCTTCCGAAGTGCACAGGTCTCATCTATCCACTCTACTGAAGCCCTTAATTCAGCTTTTTCCTGCCTTCTCGAGGACCCTAAACCCTGCACTCCCAGGCTTGCAGGCCTTGAACCCTAAACCTAAAAGTTCTGATCGTGGCAGGTTCAGATGCAGAAACTCCAAAGCACGACCTCCGAACAGTTCTGAGGTAGACCCCCCGAACCGTCAACTCCATCGATAGCCTCTCAATTAGACCCATGTATTGAGGCTCCCAGGCCCCAAGTTGCTATTTTGAGCCTTAGGGTAAGGGTTTAGGGGTAAAGCCGGTGCATGCACCAATAGAAACGAACATCATCGACGTGCTGATGTGGAAAGCTATATTGAAGGGCCAACCGTATGCCATTTATCAAACTGGACTCTCAGGGTCGGGTGTGGGGTCACGTTCAACCCATCATCCACAATTATTGCGCAGCTGGGAAGCAAAGACCCATAGCACACGGTGGTGACAAGCAGGGCTGCGGGCACACCGAAGGTCAGCCAGCTGACGAATCCGATATGAACTCCTCAGAATGGAAGCGGAAACGTAGGCTTTGTTAACGACAGGGGTACCTGTATAAGAATCCTACCATCTGCGAACGTAGGAGCTTGCATCACGAGTCATCACAAACTGAAGTATCTGACGTTGGCCCCAAAATGGGTCCCGTCTCAGCCTTGAGGCTCAAGAAAAAAGTTCACGGAATGGGCATTTGGACCTGTTGATTCCATACAACTCCTGCTGCTTTTAGTATGCTTCAACCATCTTCACAAGGCCCTGAAAGTGGGTTGTCCTAATTATAACCTATGAGCCTTCAAGTAGACCCTAAACCCTAAACCCCATAGATAAGGCCCTGAAAAAGTTCACATTGTTCGCCGCTGTGCAACTAGAGCACAACCTCAGGTCATGACTCCAGAGGCCCCATGGGCTCCGGGTTCAGAACAAAAGGGTTTAGGGTTTAGGGTTAGGGTTTAGGGTTTAGGGTTAGGGTTTAGGGTTAGGGTTTAGGGTTTAGGGTTAGGGTTTACGGTTTAGGGTTAGGGTTTAGGGTTTAGGATACCGTCGAGCTTGAAGTTGTGGGGTTGGCAAACTAGGGAAACACCACAGGTTTTGGACTCCAGGGTTTCGGGTTCAGAGGGACCGCGCCTTCTTCGGCGAGGTATCTCGTGACCACCAGATTCGAAGGAGTGCCGACCATCGTTCCTCGCGATTTCTGGTTCAGAGGGGGCGGATCCCAGATGTTGGGCTATAAGAGCTCTTGTACGCAGAAGATTCTGGCAGGGTTGTGCCTGTAGGATGCAGGAGCTTATGCAGTAACTGTTCCGATGAGCAGTCTATTGGGGTTCTACTACTTGAAAGGACTCTGTAATAAGGGTTCAGGGTTTAGCAAGGCCGCTAACACTGACTCCTCATATCCTGGACCTCACCAGGGCGGTTCTTGCAGGCCATCTCAAAATGAGGTTTCTGATTCCTTCCTAAGAACAACCCGCTAAGATTCCTGTGCTCGCGAGCGACTTAGAAACCTGAAGGAAGAGTAAGTATACGAAAGACGGCAGAGAAACTTAAAATGTTCAGGGAAACGTTGAACATTGCCGGATCTTCGTTCGGGATCGGCTCGAGCTGTGATTTTCGGGCTTCAACGTCGATACAGCGTCTAAGGCGCATAAAACTTGAATGGTGTCGAAAAATTGATCTAGATGCCAAGCATGGTGCAAACACACGACTTGTCAGCACCCCAAATAAGGTAATCCTAATTCTACACGACTTATGACTTATTTACTTGATTGAGCCTGAAAACTCTAAACCTCATACAGATCCCTTGCAGATCGCTGAAGGAACCTTGAGGAAGCTTACCGAGGCCCCAACCCATGCCACCGCAGTTGCAAGCATACGCCACAGAGAGGAGGCTCCCTGCGACTTTTGCTGAAGGGTGGGTTGAGGGTTCCGGCTGGAAATGCTAAGTTTGAAAACAGTTGGTAACAACATTCCTTGAAAGCCGTCTACATTTTTATGCTGATTCTACAATATAGCCCCGAACTCTGTTCTAGCCATTGAGGCTCTGATAGAAGACTACTGCCACCGAAACAGTAAACGGTTCAGAGCTGTTACTATATCTGCCTAAATGATTACCTGTACTATTTTGGTGGTTCCTCATTATAATTGTAGTATAATGGCCCCTATCTAATTATTAAGGCCCCTATATCGCAGCTTCTGGGGTTCAAGCTCTTAGGGTCTAGAGTTCTAGGGTTTAGGGTTGAGGGTTTAGACTTCTACAGGGTTTAGGGTTTAGAGTTCTGTGGGGCTTCGGGTTTATAGGGTTTAGAGTTCTATAAGGCTTAGGGCTTGGAGTCCTGCAGGGTTCAGGGTTTGGGGTTTAGAGTTCCAGGGTTTAGGGTTTCAGGGGTCCTACCCTCTAAGCCCCGAGGATGCACTTCTTAATTAGGATAAGCCCTGAAACCACGGCTGGTATCAAACCCTAAACCCTAAACCCTAAGCAACCCGAGACCGAAACCCTACAAGAACCTAACTTGAAGCCTGACTCCTGCGAACCCCTAAGCCCTCGCCCGAGATCCATCAAGCCCTATACACACCTCCTTACCCGCAAACTCCTGAAAAAAAGGGCCCGCGCCCCAAAACCCAAACTCCTGATTTCCGAAGCCCTTGGCCCCAAACCGAAAACCGTGATAGAACCCTGTGCAAACATGCTTGCAGAACCCTTTGCAGCGCGTTTTGAATAGAAGCCTTTGTGAAACCTTTACAGCACACCCGATAGAACCCCTTGTTCAAGCCTTTCTAAAGTCGATCCTTTTCTTGAGAAGCCTTCTAGAACCCTGTGTAGAAACCCCTGATAAAAAATCTCACGGAACCCTGTAAAGGACCTCTATCCGACAACCCTAAACCCTAAATAAACCCAAAACCATCCCTGCTCCGGCCCGTCAGCGTCTGCTGCGCACGTTGGCTATGGAGTGGCCTGGGGCCAGAGTTCTTCGTTTTAGGACTTAGGGGTCTGGGGTTTCGGGTTTCAGGGTTTCGGGTTTAGGATTTTAGGATTTAGTGTCGGGGTTTCACAGCTTTCAGGGCCTAGGTTTTGAGGGGCCGATATTGTCGTAATCATATGGCACTATCCGGGGATAGTTCTACTGTTTGTTGAGAGCTGTACGTACATTGGGTTGATGCCTACCTACCTTCATCCCTCCGCTAATGTCAGACCCCATACGGCTCCGGGTATAGCGGTCAGGGTTGTAAGCATCTCCAACGCCATCACCCAGCCCATACCACCAAATGCCCACGTCTCTTTCCGCCAAACCCAACTACAATCGGGATGGGGGCTTGGAGTTCGCGTTTGCGGAAATCACGAGTGAAGTTTTCGGCGCCGATAGCCTGCCGCGCGTCGCACCCATCGATCTCATGACGATAGGGGTGAGGATGTAGGTTGCTCCTGAACCGTCACACGGTTTAGGGTTTAGGGCCGTTTAGGGTTTAGGGTCATCCTAGTCCTAAATCCGAAAGCTGGGAATCCTAGAAATCCTAAACTCGAGAATACGAGCCCTAACTTGTTTTGCCCGGAGCCCTTGCAGTCTCCTTCAATGCCTTGGAACCAAACCATGTCAAATCCCGACTCTAAACCCTCTCTACCTGAGACCTCGAAACCTCAATTAATATGTGATCTCCTCTTGATGCATTTGTTATGCACTTAGCTGTCCCTGCAGCAGACGCACACAGAGAGACATACACACGCACACATTTGTGTCTGCATTTGCACGTCAGCTTACAATCATACACATATGAAATTGAAACGTATACGAAGACATAGACACAGACATAGACAGACATAGGCAGACATAGACACGACTACTGCTTGGATCACGCAAGCATAAGCCCGGAACCTAAACCGCAACCTCAAGGCCCTCCTATCCGAAATCCCAAACCCTCTACCCCAACCCGCTCAAACCTAAGCCCTTCACGGTTTAAGGTAAAAGCCAGAAGTTGGAATAGGATTGTTCTAACCCTTCTATGGTAAATTAGCGTGTATCCTACCCTGAAACCATATTCCAACTTTCTGGAGTGCCCTGTAAGGCATTCGGCTTCGGGTTTGCTTTGGGTCGAAGGCCTCTAGGGTCTAGGTTTGGGGTCCTGTGTTGGTGATCCACATGGAAAGCAGGCAGCCAGCAACCATTATCGCTCCGCGGAGTCGAGTCGGTGATTTCCCCACCTGTGAGGGAGTCGTTTTTCGAAAGGAGGGGTGAGTATGAAGGGTTCATGGGGCTTTATGCGGGTCTTAGGGTTTATTATGGTTTGAGGTTTTAGATTTAGGGGTTTGGTTAGATTTGCGGATCTATGGTGTTGCAGATCGGTTCCAAGAGCAATTTTTCATGCTTCCACTCCATAGGCTTTAAATTCCTCAAGTCCTGTTCTCTGTCCCTCAATGTGCCTATGTCCCGCGAAAAAGACCCGTGTGTCACTAACACCCTAAACCCTACACCCCAAGCTCTTTAGACCCTGAACCCTGATTAACCCAAATGCTAAACCCTAAACCACAGAACCTAATTAAACCCCAACCCCAGACCATACCAGTACAAGCTCAAACTTAGACCTTGCACCCAAAATCCTACGCTCTGAGCAGCCCAACAACCCGGGCCCTCGCCAGCATGGTTTTATCGGCATGCACCTTTGGGCTGAGGTTTGGGTTTCTTCGGAGCTGGAGATTTCGCCCCAGGTAAAAGGCTCCAAATGCAAAAAAACAGCGACACACGACTGCATCGAAGGAGTGGGGCTAAAACCAGAATGCTAAACCCACCAACCCTTGAAGAACACCTTATAGAGCCCTTCTATGCAACCCTATCGCTCTTGCTTCGTCCCTGTCAGAGCTCCGCACCCATCTGCAGGAGGCCACGGCATCTGCGAAGCGGAAGTCCAATCCTCGAAAAGCGGTCTCAGTTGTAACGACAATACATAGGAAATAACAACAAGAGCTGAGTAGTACCAATACTCACATAAGTGAATGTAATACCTCACCAGCGCTTGCACCGGGGTTTGAGGATTTCAGAGTTAAAAAGCTTTAAGGGGGGAGTCTCTCAAAGTTCAGGTGGCCGGAGTTAACATAGCTCCTACTATTTGCGAGTTTAGGTTTCAATGTTCTGGCAAACGAGCTTCCATGCCGCTCCATGGCCAAGGCAATCATGGAGCTGCCGAAGAGGACCAGTGTCAGGTTGCTCATGTAGGGGCTCAGGGCATCCTTTTGGGTGATGTGGGGTATTACCCAGACCTTCCAAAATCCCTTAATTAAGGATTATACCTTAAATCATATTAGGGATCCTACTATGATTTAAGGTATATTCCTTAATTAAGGGTTTAGGGTTTAGGGGCTCTGGGATTTGCGGTTGTAGGATTTGCGACTCCGGGCTTCATTACGAGAAACCAGAGATTGGGCTGCAGGGAGAATGTGTTCTGAAGTTCTGAGATTTAAGACTTTGGCGTTCTCAGGGGTATAGGAATCCAGGATATCCTCGAAGGAGCAGACGCCAGAGAGGTAGAGCAGTGGACCCACCAACATGCCGGTGATGGGAATGGGAAGTACCTCTGCTGCTCGGAAGTGGTGTCGCAAAATACATACCTACGGCAAGCGCCTCGGTGCGTGCACCTGACATTGAGTCCTACTTCCTACACCCGGAAACCCTAAAGCCCAGAAACCTAAAGCACAACCCACGGCCCTAGATCTAAACTCAAGATGCAGGCGGCTTAACAGGGCTGAGGCACCTCGCAAATCCACAGCGTCGCCCTCAGGCCAGGCTTTCGCAATCAAGACAGATGGCGAATTGGGGCTTGTACGAGGCTTTTGCAAGGAGTTCCGTCAGGGTTGTAATCTGCCTTTATCCAGATTTGGCAGCCGAATCATCTCTAACTATCAGATAGACAGATAGATGAACGTCTGGACGACAGATTCTGAACAAGCCATTCGAGCCCCCAAACCCTCTTACCTCAAAACTTCAGCAGTAGCATACAGGGGCCCGCGGACATCAGATGTCAAGGTTGCAAGCAAGTTGCACCACGCTTGTCACGGCAAGGGTCCTGGATCGAACCAGATACTGACGGTTTGGGGTTCGGGATTCATCCAAACATCAGGCAGCCTCATCCGATCTGTCAACTTCCGAACATGAGGGCTGTAAATACTCGCTACAGTACGTAGAGCAGGATTTGGGGCATCCAAGCTTGAAGCCGCAAGGGACCATAAAGGGACACAGATACTGCTTAGTGAGACACTGATAATAACCTCAACTGCAGGCCACAAGCCTTCAACGATAAAACACATATCTTGATGCTACATGATCAGAACGAGTCCTGCAGGCGCAACAGTGAGTCAAGATTGCATACTTTGCTGAATTACTGCTTTGCTGTAGCAAAAGAACTGCTAGGTAAAGTTGGATTCCCTCGAATGCCGTTTCTTGTATACACTGCTATCCAGGCTTGTTAGATCATGGCTGTCGAACCTTCGGTTTAAAGTCTACGCGGACCCTTGCGATCACGGTCCCAGGCTTAAGGCTTATGAATCCTTCGGGCCCTGAAGAATGAAGAAGACCGCGCTTGTTCCGTCTCCGCACCATGCACTGGTGGAGGTATTGGTAATGGGATTAGTAGTTGCCGTGGACACAAAGGACGCATGGACTTTGCCAGAAGTGAAATCTCTGATTAGACATTAATTAGAGTAGGGCCTCTTCAGGCCGCTATATTGCACCCGTAAGCCCTAAACCTTCCAACAGCCCTTCAACGATCCCTCAAAGGATCCCTTAGACGAACCCTTAAAGTCTTAAAGTATCCCTAAAACGAACGAAAACCCGCTTCTGTCCTGTACTGTGCCTCGGGTAAATCTGTCTTAGTCTCGCCGACTGCAAAGCCGATTCCGAACCTTCGAAGTCGAAGATAGTGGAAGTTTTAACCCTAAATCCTAAACTTCCCTAAAATCAGGGGTTTATAGGGTTTGAAGGACTTCAAGGGTTTAGAGGGGTCTTTAAGGTTACCCTAAACCCTAAACCCCTAAACTCTAGCGGTTTGTAGGGTTTGGATGGCTTCAAGGGGTCTGCAGGGGTCTATGGTCTGTAAGGTTCAGGGCTCAGGGGTTTTGCGGCTTCGGAATCTTAGGGCTGAGGGCTTATAGGGATTATGAAGGCTTAGGGTCTGTAGGGCTTGGGGATTTGATGCCTTCGGGTTTGCGGGGGGTTCGGGATTCAGGCGTCCTGGCTTTAGGTTTTGGGGTTTGGTGTTGGACAGTTGGTGTTCGGCATTTTACGAGGGCTTTGCCAAGGTTTGAATAGAGTCTGTTAGAGGTTATCTGAAAGTTTAGGCACCTTCAGTTCAAGTTGTACGGATTGAACTTTACGGTGCAGGGCCTGCGAGCCAAAATGATGCGACCGGACCACTCGTTGCTTCAATGGGAATGTTCACACAGTCCTACAGTTCCGTGATATTGGTTTGGGGGCGTTTTTGGTGGGACGAGAGAACGCCCTGTGGTCGGCCCTACACCCTATAAACCCTAAACCCTAAAAACTAAACCCTAAACCCCTACACCCTACCAACTCGCAGAAGTTGACCTTGATGCGCCCCAAGTGCGCTAAGAACATACCATGGGGCACCTAAACTACCTATAGTCTCCATTGTAGTTCCTTTTTTGGTTATCTAATTTTATGGTTAGGACCCTATAATAGAGATTTTGGTTAACCAAAAAAAGGAACTACAACGGAGACTATAGGTAAAGCTCAGGCCAAATCTAGCACCCGGCAACATCAAGATCCTGAGCCCTTAACCCGAAACGCTTAACATCCCGTGCCCTCAACCCCAAACCCTCAAACCCAACCCTGAATCCCGTCATGAACCCTGGGGTTCCAAAGCCCCCCAAGCCAGAGCATAGCCTTCGAAACCTACCCTAAAAAATATTTAGGCCATTCCCAGAGACTCCAATATCCCTTAATTAAGGAATATACCTTAAATTATAATAAGATCCTTAATATGATTTAAGGAATATTCCTTAATTAAGGGATATTGGAGTCTCTGGGTTTGCGGCTGGGAGTGTGGGAGTCTTCGGGGCTTCGCTGTGGGGATCGCTGGGTAAAGTTTGGGGAACATCTGCTCAGGAGTGGCACTTGACGCTGCGACCATCGAAGCATGGGCGCTGCGGCGAAGGAGTTTGGGGATGTATTAACTCGACCGTGCTTGAAGGAGCAGTGGACTTAGTAAATAGGCTATAAGTCGGAGCATACTTGATTGAAAGAACCTGCCCCTAAACCCTAAACCCTAAACGGCACGTGCAACTCCATCACAACCCTCGGAACTTCCTTCTTCAAACTGAGGCGAATCTCGAAACCCTAAGCCCTCGTCTTCGTGACCCCAAACGGTAATGTAGGGACCTTAATAATAAGACTAGGCTTTTTTTGGGGGGTGTATTATACCATCACCCTCATAAGGAACCCCTTAAAAAAGAGTATGGGTAATTATTGAGGCCCCTATAAGAAACCATATATCCGAGCCACAAGGACTGAAGGCTGCAGCTGAGAAACAGGACGGTTAAGGCCGCACCGAGCCACTGGCGCAGGCCGAGCGTGTCCTGGGTGACACTTTGCATTCAAATTAGCACGTGGATCTTTCAAGGAGGATTTTTCTTGGCCTGGGATAGGTCGGATTCCACTTGAGCCCTAACCGTCTTGGGACAGCCTAAACCCTAAACCTTATGAAAACCCTAAACCCTGAACCCCCCAACCCTGATCCACCAAGCTCCTCACGCTTAGCTGCAGAATCCCGAAAAGTCCGCTAAGTTTCAGCCTCCCGATTCACATTTCAACGGATATACTGACTTCACACCAACCATTAACCATCTTGTGCTCCTGATTTTTCGAAGAGCTCCTGAATTCTAGACCGACCCTCAAGAGTGGCTTACAGGCTTCAGCCTAAACCCTAAACCCTTAACGTGGATCATAAGCCTACTTGCATAGACGGAATCCGAGACTGACACCCTGGAATCGCTTGAAATTCGGGAGCACGGTCAAGTAACATTACCCACAGAAACCATTCTGAGGCTTATAGCAACCTACGCCGACGGATACCTTTCTCGGGCCCTGCTTCTCCAAGAAACCATGTCGTGAAACGAAGCTTGTCTTCTTTATTGCTTGCCTCTGTCGTCCCACCGCCTGGACCTGGATCTCTGCCATGAGGGCCATGGGGAAGTGTGCCATGACCCACAACGAGCTCCAGATCCGAAACGGGAAAACCCCAAAACCCTAAGCCCCTAAAGCCAACAAAAGCCCCAAACCCTCAACCCCTAAACCCTAAACCCTAAATCCTAAAAACCCTAAACCCTAAAATCCTAAACCCTAAACCCCTAAACCCCTACACCCCTAAACCCCTCAACCCCAAACCCCTAAAATCCTAAAAACCCTTGAGCACCAAGCTCGAGGGTCCAAGCCCGAGGGCCCTCCAAACCCCCAAAGCGCTCAACCCTAACTACTAGGTCCAAGAGTAACCCAGTCGTAAAAAGGATGCCCTTTTTGGTGTAAAGGGGCTTATAAGGGAACCTGAACCCTAAAAAAGGGAATAAGGGCCTACTCCGGGTCCTAGACTACGATATGTTGTAGTATAGCCCGATACCACACAGTACACAAGATCATGATGTAAAAAATGCTATAGTATGACAAATCACGTACAAAATATCATTGAATCATGATATGATACAGCACGGTATGGTATTATACAGTATAAAACCTCATGATACGGTATATAGTATCATATTCCCCAAACCCAAGACCCCAGGACTTCCCACCCACCAGCCCGAAACCCTAAATCCTTCAACTCATAGGGATCCTTAGGGGTGTAGGGGGGAGGGGTGTAGGGGACTATATTTCCTTAAATAGGCCTTATTAGTCCTTATTATGGGCCTTAAGGCCCACTACCCCTATATAACTAGGATACCCAGTAACCTAAGAATAAAAAGGCCTCTCTTTTTGGTATTGGGTAACTTTATAAGGAACCTAGGACTGCAAAAAGGGAATAAGGGTACTACTGGGCATCCTAGATAACATTTTTCCCGGCTTTAAAACCATTATAGAAACGTGTTGAAACCCTGTAGTACAGGGGTTTTCTTAGTTGAAACGGGTTCATGCAGTATATTGGAGCAGTATAGGGGCCTTAGCAGTGTTTGGGGGCCCATTATGCTGGTACTGGCAATTATTTGGATTTGGGCCCTTATGTAACAATTACATTCAGGAACCTTCAGGAAAAGGACGCATAGTTATTCTGGCTTCCATGTTAAACCCGACAGAAAATCTGCCCGGTCTCCCCTCCGCCGCAGCTGAAGAAGCAGTCGCCGGGTCGCTTGTGCTCCTTCAGAGATTTTGGTGTAGGGTGCTGGTGTTTAGGGTTCAAGGGTTTAGGGTTTAGGGGGGTTCAAGTTTGTTTGGGGTTGTTGGGATGAATTCCAGAAATTAGTCTTGGGGCCGGGGGCCCTGGACCCTAAACCCTAAACCCCAAGTCATCATTCTTGGGGACGGGTGGGAAGAGGGTTGACGATGTGTTCGACTTCTTCCTGCTGGGATTCTTGTTCTCGAGTCGGTCTCCCCGGTTTCACATAAATCCGACACGGCAACTCCCCTAAACCCTAAACCCTAAACCCCTAAACCCTAAACCCTGGGTTCACGAAGCCCTTCCCTGGGCCTCCGGGTAAACATCGGCACTGGATGCCGAGGATGCAGTGGAAGGCTCCGGTAGAGGCTGCGGATCATCCATTTCGCCCGCGGCCATGGCTTGGCGAATCAATCAGCGGCTCTGTAGGGTTACTATTACTATTACTATTACTAGTACTAGTACTAGTACTAATACTATTACTATTACTATTTACTTTGGGGCGTGAGCGGGTTACATCAGGCTCCTCAGCTGAAACATTGGACCTGAAGCTTTAAAACTGCTAGCAGACCTGGTCTGCAAGTCCTTTCCTGAGGCTTCTGGTTAGAGATCCGGTTGCTTTCAAGAGCTTCAGGGTCTACCGGGCACGGCCGTTTCTTGACGAATTCATTTGAAAAGGGTCTTGGGGTTGGGAGGATTTGAGAGCTCTATCCTCTTTGGTTGCAGGATCTTTCGGTGACTCTAGACCTCAAAGGTTCGGGGCAAAGCTTATATAAGTCACATTGCCAAGATGGAAAGCTGCAAAAGCGACGGGAGGAGCTGTAACTTTCACCCCTGCTTCGGCTCTGGGGGAAGGGTTTAGGCCTTAGGGTTGAAGGTTCATGCGGGGTGTTTTGACGGGTTCAAGTGTCTTTAGGGTGTAAGGTTTGGCATTTATTTCGTGGCAGCTGAGTTGGGTATCTTAGTACGACAAGACTCTGACAAGATGTGCCCGGCCTGTCCATGGCTACCACATCGTCAACGGACAGAACGGCCAAACCAGCGAGGTCTCGACGTCTTGATTTGTAACAATGGAAAGACACTGTCCCCTGATACACCCTGCAGGCATCCGTGGTCTATCTCACGAAGCATATCGAATGGCACCCGGCCTGGAAACCCCATAGGGCCGTCAGACTTAGAAGACCTCTTTTGATGCAGTGGTGTCATAATTCTAGCCTGCTTAAACTTTCAAAATGTACTAAACGGGCGTGTCATGGGCTATCATTACTAGAAGTTCGGACGTTTACATCAACCCGTGACCCACATGTATCGATACATACGGCCAATGGGCTCTGAAGCAGGCTGTCGATGTACACGAATGCCCTTCCGGAATTTTTGCGCACCCGACAGAGCATTGTGCAAGGCAGGGTTACCGTGCTTATGCAGCAACTATGGTGGCTTCCCTAAACTCCAACACCCTCAATGGGAACCCTCGGTATTGCAAGGTTACAGCAGGAGTCGAAGTGCAACTAACGGACAGCATTCTTGACCATCGATCCCGTTGTGGGCTTCGTGGCGGCATATTCCCACCAATTAATTCTGGGATCCTTAAGGGAGGGGGATCCCGGGGTGGGGGGTTATAAACAACCAAGTACTAGTAACCTCCAAATTATTCCTTCCCTTTGCCTACTTCTCTTTACTGTAAGGATCCCTAGCCCAGTACTATACCTGCCCCCTCCGCCCCGCCCCGCTTACACTACCCTCCTTTCCGGATGTTATAAGTGAAACTTCGCGGAAGAAACCCCACGGCAGTCTCGGCAGGGAATCTCTGCTTAAGCCAACATCCAACAGCCTTGTTAATGTAGGAACCTGATTAAGAAACCTTGAACCTTTATTTGGGTGCCTTATATGATTCCTACTACTCGGGGTTATACGTGCAGGGTTCTTAATCAGGTTCCTACATTACCAGTTTCAAAGCCTATAAACCTTGCATCCGAAAACCACTAGTCGCAGAGATCACACTGTGCGCAGCTTCGGCCGCCTAGCCTGTACACCTTTACATCTGCTGCTTGCGCGAAGCTTCTCTTTGCTGGTCCTCGGAAATTTAAACGGTCACAGGCTGGCTATGCATCCACGAACATACACAGATGCATGCAAGGGCATGATTTTGTATAGTTCGAGCAAACGGTTGCGCTTATGATTCTACCACTACACTCTACTCATGTTAACAGGCGCATGGTGATGACAATTCTTCTTGCTACGTCTTTCTATATTCCTTTTGCTGGCAACACCTGCGCCTGACTGCCGGCATCACTACGCCGGCGCAACTAGTGGTTTTCTCATGGTAGTACTACTACGACTGTTCTGTACAACCACTTCGTCGAATCCTTCTAGAGGGGAGCACTGTTCGTCGCACCGATACTACTGCGTTGCCAGCATTGACGGATTTCGGATTCAGCGTAGCTGCCTGCATTCATGCTATACCATTGATGACGGTGCTTGCGCCTATCACTGCAAGCAGTACGTTTACGGCGGCCAATTAAAGCAGTGCTGCTATTGCACCAGTTGAAGCTGCCTTAAGCATTGGTCACATGTGTTCTTGACTTCTTATTTAGTCTTCTTTCAAAAAGTCTTGCATAGGCTGAAATGTTGATTTAATACCTATGTTCGTAATTAAGGACATCTGTGTTGGTTTGTTTCATGATGCAACTGCCTGCTGCAGTTGATTCCTCCAGACGAACAACTCGTTGCAATGAAACTGCCTTTCCCATGGTCACAAGCAGCATGCATATTCAATGCTATCATGATGACTACCAGGCACCCCAAACCCGGCGCCCTAAACCCGTTCTGATCACGACGGTGCCATGGTGCTGTACATGACCACAGGACTTACTGCCTCGATTCTGGGCGCCCCACACTTCAGGTGAAGGGGCTACACTACAGGGAATTCATGGAACGCCGTGTCACAATGCTGCCACAGATCCGCCATGTGGCCGTGATAAGCGCCGCGCTTCCTGTTGAAAACCTGCAGTCTGCGCTCCGCACGTCCAACTTTCGGCGAAAGAAAGGTAATCGCAAAAAGATCCATAGAATAAGGTTGACATGTATCGGTTTGTAAATATAAGCATAAACATAAGTATACATGTAAGTAAGTGTATATGTATACAAATCTAAGCCCGACGGCTTTTGGTTCGATTGAACTACTTTGTATAAAGTACAACATCTAACACAACATAAGACGCTTGGTTGAGTATTGTACAGCTATTTTGCTATCTCCTGGCTCTTGGTCGCTGCTGCCCGCACTGCTAGAACTGACTCCCCAAGGTTGATCAGAAAACCCTGAAGCCGGAACTCAAGGAAAACCCTCAACCCAAGCAACACCCCCAATAGTGGCAAATGGACTCAAACGGACTAAAGGCAAGCTTACCATGAATATCTTCGTTCCCATGGGTTTCAGACGAGGTTTGTTCGGATTAATGGCAGACGGCCCATAAGCTGGAAGGGGGGTGGGTGGCGTGTTGGTCAGGGTTGGGAGGAAGGGTGGTTCGGTGGGAGAAATGATTTTGACGTTACGTGCATTCAACTGCCCGTGTGTTCTTCTCTTCTGAGGATTTCCAACCATAAGTAATTGACACGATTGCGTAAAACTAACATGGGGGTGCGTTGTAACAGTATAACGATTTTCATTAACTCAATTAGTGTAACCATAAAAACCGCAGGGCTTCTCCCTCCGAGAAATCAAACAAGACGAGCTTAACCAATTTATTCTGGAACCCGAATAAGATTAATCTACCAAAAATGAATTTAAAAAAGCTGAAGACATGAACTATCATTTTAACGATTGTCAAGACTTGGGCACCTAAATAGTTGAAATATGTCAAAAACAAAATTGTGTGATTAAAAACATTTCGACTATTTCCACTGTTCCAAGTATGTTCAATATCAACATCGTGGTGCTTCTCCCTCTGAGAAATCAAGCAGCTCATTTGTATGTATTTTCAGTGATTGTACATCTTAGTTTTTCTTACCTGTACCCGAATAGAATAGAAGCACTAATTAGACCCCAGGTGCTGCTCTCATACATGTGCATATATATATATATGTATAGATATGTATATACATACACATGCAAAAACACATACATATGCGTGCACACACACATACATATATATATATATATATGAATTCGGACATATATCTCTGCACATGTATATATATATATACACATACCTAGATATGCATACACACATACGCACATATTAACATACATGTGTATACATATATATATGTATATATATATATATATATATATATATGTACAACTGTATACAGAGAGAGATACGAGCATATGTATAATACATATAGATACAGATATACACATCACATGATGTAGGTAAAACACATGTTCATCTTCTGCACGTTCCCAATACTGACCACCATTAGAATAGCTGCTGCTAGAGTTGAAACGCAATACTATTAACAACAGTTGACAACAGCAGACAACACAACAATGACAATGAGAGCAGCAACAACAACGATAATAACGATCGTCTAGATCATAATATTACAAAAATATTACAAAAACAGTCATGATAACAATGATAGTGATAGTGAGAGTAACAATAATCAATAACACCAATAATAAGAATAATCATACTAATAGCAGCAACAACAACAACAAGCACGATATCCATGCACAAGTTCACAAGCGATGCCGAGGTACAGCGACCAGGAACTCCATTATACCCCCCACACGAGTGGGACGGTCATGCGCAGGATCAGCCAGATGAGCCCGGAACCTCCGAACACAATGCAGCGACTCACTCACAGGCTGGGACAGAGCGTCGCAGATTTCAGTGGACTCATGCAGTTTTGACGTCGGTTCGAGCAGGTTGAGAGACTAAGGCGGACTCGTTGACTCCAGCGCTCTACGTGCATCTTGTGGGTCCTATCAAAGCGCCGAAACAGCGCAGTGCCGCGTACACATGACACAAAATGAACAAATGATGTTGTTTCACAATACACATCCCCCTGTGGTGCTGGGAGATCAGTTCATTAAAGCGGCTTCAAGCTTTGCATGTTGGCTGAGGATGTCCAGTGCAGGGTGTTGGGATGGAGGGAGTAGGCTACCGTTTGGGTATTACACGCCTAAGGGTGAGGGATAGCAAACGCGAGCTTTGGTAACCTCGAAACTCACGCCCAAAACTCTAAACCAAAAACCACGACCAGCTACCGACACTCCTTACCTTACTATACCTTCATATAGTTAGACGAGGCGCAGATCACGTTGATAATGAAGCCGGTAGATGCCATCTGGCAGAAGTCCACGTGGCCCGTCTCCTTCACCTTTTGTAGAAATGTTTATACTCTGAGGCTCCATGTATCTATATGGGGACCCCTTTAAGGCCTAAGTAAGATTGAAGGTTTGGGGTGCTTCACTTTTGCAGAAGGAAGGAAGGGTCGGGAGGGCTTTAGGGCTTCAGGCTTGAGGGTGTATGGCAATTATTTCGGAATTTAGCGCTTCAGGGTTGTAGGGTCGAGGGCTCAGGGCTGTGGGGCTTATGAGTCTCTGCTTCTGGGTACCGGAACGTGCAACAGAATGTTTTTGTGCGTTGGTTGATGCTGAGACATTTGACGGGTTTGCGAGGCAGTTGTGATCTGCGAGCTGAAAGAGACCAGGCATTCACAAAGGTAGGAATCTGAACAAGGATGCTTGGAGATTTACTGGTATTGTCTAGCGTGTTTGCAAAACAGGGCTTGGCACACAAGCCAGAAACCCGCGTAGCTCAGCTACATTAAGCTACTTATTTGAATATAATATATGTGTGTATATATGTATAATTGTATGTATATATATATATGTATACATATATATATATATATACATACAGATAGGTATCCTCGACAACAAGCATACACCATGAAGCAGAAGAGCAAGCCGCCTTTAGTCTAGGGTGTATTCCCTACTTAAGCGGCTGTGACAGGGCAGTTTGGGACTCCCCAAACAACAACTATAAGATCCGGGCCGCCATAATTGGAAGAGGATGTGTTGTATGTTTCAGTAAAAGTTGTTTGGTGCCTATAATACAAAGTCATGGCATAGAGCCTGAATAGTACGATGCGCAATACCCCCATTTATTCAGAACCACCTAACTTGGCGTAAAGCACCAATCCCAGCCTGCCCATACCTTCCAATCTGATTCCTTTCTTGCGGAAGCAAGCACAGCAGCCAACAACAAGCGAAGCTACGATTGAGTCGCGATATGTTTGAAAGGTTGTTCAAGCTTGAACGATGTTTTTTCTATGCTCTGGGGCCTAGAAGGGGCAACAACTCATCTTGCTGTGAGGTCCAGGGCCCTTGAGTTTCAGCGCTGTGTTGTGCAAGCTAAAGACGTTGGCATTTTAGGGGTTTGGAGAGCCTAAGACCAAGACCAATCGTGACTTTCCAAGAACGCTCGCAACAACACCGGGTGGAAGAGCCAGAATCCGGAGTCGACGATTCATGCGAAACTACCTGCGCCCTGAAACCCGAATGCCAATCTTAGGAAACGCAAGTCCTGTGAGGTAGACTCTACTCTGCAGCCACGGTGCAATATAGTTCGGTGGAGTGGCAATTGGCAGCATAAACCTGATAAGCAGAAGCTCAGAACCCGAAAGGCGATGCACCCAACCCTCTACCACGGGTCTCCAAAACCCGAACACGCTGTTAGAGACGACAGAATGGTACTTGAAGCGTCGGAGGGCTTAGAGAGTAGGTTAAGGGCAAAGCTACTCAGGTTGCCCGAACTCTAGCCCTACTAATAACTACCGGCTGACTATGTACTAAGCCGCTTGATCCTTTAGTTAGGGACACTCTCCAGAAGAAGGCTTGAAGCTAAGCTCTCAGACTTGGGCCGGTAACAACACACGCTTGTGAATCGGAATGACAAAACCAGGGTTTAGAGTATGGGGTTTGGGGAAGACTATGGTTACGCGCGAATTCTATTCATATTGGGGACGAGACGGAATACGATTGCTAGTTGTTCCCGGCCTTCTTCTGAAACCTACATCCCCGGGGAAACTTTGTGGTCGAAGTACGCGCAGCTGGCTCCCAGCGCGACCCCAATCGCCGGTGCCACGGCAGCATTTGGGTCTGCACCTGAATTTCACGTGCATCTACGATGCAGGTCCGAATAATGTGTTCCTATAATGACACTACAATGGTTCCGCAAGACCCTCTTCGAACTATTTAGATTTTCATGCGCTGCAGGATAGTGAGAGTTTCAGGCTTGTTTTTTTTTCGCCAGAAACCTCAGTTCCTGAGCATTAGATCCTCACATCCATCTACTATACCAGAAGTCCCCAACCAAAAAACAATTTCCCAAAGGCCTGATTGAACCCCTTTGTCTAACATCCCAAAGCCCCCAAACGCCATACCCAAACCCTAAACCCTCAAACCCTACACACTAAACCCTGAAGCCCTAATATCCCCAACCCCAAAATCATGTTCCTAGCCGTCTAAAACTCTGAGCTTGGGGCTGACTGACTTTGAGACAGCGATGACCACAGGAACCTCGTTTTTGAACCAAGATAGCGTTTAGGGTTTAGGGGGCATTTGACTTGTTCAGGTTTAGGGCGTAGGGTTTAGGGTTTGGTACCCGAACTAGCACCAAATAACCACCCAAAGTAGGTGCGGTGTATAGATACCTATGTACTTTACTCCACAGACTGGCTCGCAGTCGTAGACTTGGTTGTAGGGTTCAGAAGGCATCTACAGAATTAGGCTCTACGAGTTGTGGGAAGCGGGGTGTCGGGCATTTGTGTAAGGTTTAGATGTTAGGGTTCTTAATACAGTGTGAATAGCAAATGAAGGTTTTAGGGGGTCTGCAGACGGGCGCTGCATCCATTATGAGCCTCTCAGGGCCTAAACCCCTGCATCCCTAAGTGTGGAAGTCCTGAGCCGTAAAACTCCATAGAACTCCCGTAGGAAACCGTGCAGAACCCTTCAAGGAGCCCTTAAAGTAGCACCAAAAGGAACCCTGATTCTCGGAGGTTTGGACTTTACAAGTAGGAGCTCTGAGAAAATAGGCTCCATAAGCTTGCGCGGATTCCCGGGTTGATGCTGCCGGGAGACCATGATACTTGTGGTGGCTGTATTGGACGTGATCTCTGTCGCGAAGATAGTGAGCCTGCCAGGGAAGAGTTCACGGCTTAGGAACCATCCAGCCGGCCTACAAGAACCCCGATTGGCCGGCGCGCAGCTCCACCACGGTGTTTAGGGCTGAAGGTCCCTTGCATCCTCCATGTTGGGGCGACTGGTTCGGATCTCGTTGTTGTGGCTCGATTCAGCCGAGATAGAAGATGGCTAAGGCCCGCTTTACCTCACGACGCCAAGCGCTCTGCGTCGAGCTGAGGTCCCAGCATGGTGGTGACGAAGGTGAGGACCCAGATATCATTGATGCCAGTGGAGCTGACGAACTGCCTGAGAGACGAAGCTTTCGGACATTTCAGGGCGTAGTGTGGGCCTTCATAAACTGGAACAGGGTTTTTGGGGCTTCCTTTTTATAGCTATGGCATAATATACCCCTCAACCCTATTCTAATTCATTAAGGCCCCTATAGCAGAGCCCAGGCAGGCTCCATGCGAACAAGGACTCCACATGCCAAGCCCGGCTCCCATACCCCGTTTTAAAAGAGACGAGATCCAGTCTGCAACCTGCTTAATGGACCGCAGCTCGTTTCGTTTTGGCGATAGCCAGAAATCGCTCTGTCTGCTTCAACCCTAAATGATGAACCCCAAGCTCGAAAACCCCACAACCGCCGAGATTGTTACAGTAGCCGAAAATAACCTTCCACAGCGATCGCTATGGTTCCAAATGACCACTGATGATGTAGAAACGAACACAACAATAAAGTGAGACACCGAAAATTTAACGGGAACACAAAATAAACACAACCGAAAACCCCAAAACTTAGAAAATTCTACAGAATATAAATCCTAAACCCTACACCCTAAATCCGAATATAAATCCCTAAACCCTACACACTAAACCCGAATGTAAATCCCCAAACCCTACACCCTAAACCCACATGAAAACCTGAACCCAAGGGCTCCGCGATGACGTCGGCCAGGCCAGTTTCTTGCATTTGTGACCCGATGGCCAGGCCCCCTCCCACCCTCAGAGAGCAGATTCTTTAGGTTTTTTTTAAGGGTTTAGGGTTTAGGGGTTTAGGGTTTAGGGTTTAGGGTTTTTTGATATGTATTGGCCTGTGTGAGTTGAACCTTTATGCTCTATTTGACGGCCGCCCGTTGGACTTCTGAATGTCGAAGCTGAAACAGTACTTAGTGCTATGATTTTGGTTTCAACAAGTAGTAGATGGCCTTTGATATGAAGTCCAATAGCAGAGATACCAGACGATACTCAGGGTTTAGGGGTTGAGGATTTAGGAGATTAGGGTTATAGGGTTTAGGGATTAGGGTTTAGGGTTTAGGGGCTTAGGGTTTAGGATTTAGGGGAGGAGGGGTTTGGGGTTTAGGGGATTAGGGTTTAGGGCTCAGGGTTACCCGAGGAGTTTAGATCTTCAGGTTTAGGAATGCTTACGGTTTGGGGTTTAGGGCTTTGGGATGTAGAGTTAGGGCTCAGGGTGTCCTGAAAGTTCCTGAATATGATCAGAGTATAGTCTATCTCAACACAGCCCTGTTGCGACCTGGGAGTTTATGCTGGGATTTGGGTTCGGGGTCAGGGCTTTTTCAAACCCCGAGGACACAGAAGTGGGGGTTGTAGGGTTTGGGGTGCCTGGAGAATGCCGGAATGGCCAAGCATCATCAATGCTGGCCTATAGCCGTCACGAATGATGTCAACAACTACTAGCTAGCTATAACAAGAATGGGATATTGTACAATGACCAGGTTCATGACTGCGCGAATCAAATCAACACCTTAGCAATCATGACCGCAACCGTTCAAACAGCAAGAGTGACAATGGCAATGGCCTGATTGGCCATGCCCCCTAAGACCTAAACAAGACAGTCAAACCACCTACTTTCCCAAGCCCAAAACAAATCATCACAATAGTGAAACTAGACAACGTAAGACTAAACCCTAAACCCTGAACCCTAAACCGCACTAGTAATGATGCACCCAAGCGTCAGCATGACGATCCCCCAGTCTGCGCTCTTTGCCACAGACCACGGTAGGACCCGATGTCCGCCTGCGAGACCCGATACCAAAACCTAAACTCCAGGTTTAGGGTTTTAGTGGTTTTGGGTTTAGAGTTCAAGGGGATTAGGATTTAGGGGAACAGGGTTTAGGGTTATAAGCTATACCCAACCCTAAACCCTGCACCTTATACCTAACCCTAAGCCGTAAGCCCGGAAGTGCGAGAAAGCCTTGGACTGTGTGTTCGGGCACGCGAGATGGGCCTTGGCGAATGGACCAACATTTTGGGTGAAACCTTAAACCTGAAATAGACTTAGAATAGATTAGAATAGGGTTCCCTTAAAGGGGTCTATAGTAGGGTTCTATAAAATACTGAAACATGTAAGTTCAAATTCTGGATTCGGGGCGACACAGGGATATGACAAGCAATTACTCGTGTTCAGATTCGGAGGCTAAGTACCCAAACCCTACTGTAGGAACCTGATTGAGAAACCCTGGCCCTATAACCCCAACCGAGTAGGAGTCATATAAGGAACCCAGATAGAGACCCAGGGTTTCTTAATCAGGTTCCTACATTACACCCAATTCCCCTGCCATCCGACTCATGGTAGACCACGATTTCGCGCACCAAAACCCCTTGGTTGCTTGAAGCGCGGCCAGTTGCAGAAGCAGGGAACTATCGAATCCAGACATGAGGAGAGAACAGGGGTTCAAAGTCTAGGGTTTAGGGTGGTTCTACTATGTTTTGAATATTTTTGTTTCCAGGGCTTGGGTATTAGGGTTCAGGGCGTAGGGTTCCTTGAGCATGGCTTCTTGCCACAAGTGCGGAGTCTTGTCGCGACTTTTGCAACGAAGAGCTTCGAAAGGAAGCTCCCGAAACCCCAAGAAGTAGGTTTTTTTTTTTTTTTTAAGCGCCTCTTTTCCGACTTGCAGGTGCCAAGAAGCAGGTTTAGGATTTAGGGTTTGGGGTTTAGTGTCTCGGGTTCGGGGTTTGGGTTAGGGGTTTGGGGATTAGGGTTCGGGGTTCTGGGAAAACGGCCTGCACCCTAAACCCGCAATGAAGCCTCCGACAGGGGGCCCAAAGGGAGCCGGGCGTGGAGAGTCACCTGGCTCATGACTGTTTGGGGTTTAGGGTTTTGGGTTTAGGGTTTTGGGTTTAGGGTTTAGGGGGGTGCAGTATGGGGGGAGGGTGTAATCCCACTAGTAGGTGTGTGGAGTAGGTTTTAACCCTCTAGACCCTATACTACAAGCATAAAGGTACGAAAATGTGAGATTATCGGGTTAAGGGTTGAAGCCAGGGTTTAGGTCTTAGGCTTCAAGGTGTTCCGGGTTTGAGCAACCTGCTCATGAAAAGTCTAGTTCAGAGATAGATTGTACTTGGAGGATCACGGGACTTAGTATGGTTATAAGTACCTTCATTGGGGTTATAAGTAGCCATAAGTATAGTTACCTTATATAATAGTAACCCTAGTTGCTAAGTCCCATGATCCTCCAAGTAGTCTCTAGGTTGCAGGCCTTCAGCTGCTCAGGGCTTAGCATGACCGATCTCGAAAGTGTAAAGTGGGCAAGATTGGAGTCCACCCGAAAATCACAGGGGAAAAGGAGGGACCCTTAATGGGGACCCCATACCCTATAATGGGCTATATAATGGGTATACAATACTAGTAAGCTATTAAGGGTATATACCTAGCGGTCCTTATTAAGGGTCCCTCCGTTTACCCTTGGAGAAAAGGAATGCCATCTACACTGTAGCGCTGCTTAGGCGCCTTGGAGCAAACATGCCATCCTGGTTCTGAAACTCATTCTAAACCCTCAACCTATACCTTAACCCGACATCCTGTGATGACAAAGTCAGTAGACTCGTAAGCCGAAACACGCGTTGCTACTCCCTGCTCTTCGATTGAGTCCAAGTCCCGAAGAGCCAGCATGCGGTTTCCGAGCTCCATGAGTTCTGTCGGGGTTGAGTCTGAGAGCTCAGTGCCCCAAACCCCCAAGCTCCTAAACCCAAACCTCGAACTCCTAAACCCCTAGCGCCAGCCCCTACAGCCTAAGCCCCTAGCCCATAACTCCACCAGTTTGCTCGTTGAAGATCAAGCCTGAACCCACAACTTCATGAACACGACGAGACATGATTCTCTGGATGCTGTTTCAGCACGCTCGTAGCACCCATTAGGGCCTCTAGGAGTCAAAAACTGAGGAGAGTAGCTCAAGACTTCAATTCTGACACTCTCAATCCTAAAACCTAGCTGTCCTGAGAACCCTTAGTTTCCCTGGCCTCTGTCTGGGATGATGAACATGGGAAAGGTACCGATGAGGACGGATACACCTGCAGCTCAGCACTGGGAATGAAGTGAGACCGGTGGGGTTGAGACTATTGGTGTTGGCGTGGGGCGTAGATTCAGCGAGTTCTTCCGGCAACCGGACAGTTCCCACTGAACCCCACGAACAACCACTTGCTAAACACCCTAAACCACAAACTGTAAAAATCCTCTTTGGAACAGGAACATACCAAAGCTCAAGCTCTGTACCTGAACAGCTCTGCGATGCCTGGCACGGCACTTTGGCCCAAATGTCTCCCACCCCTAGACTCCAAGGTATTCAGCGCGTAGTAAACGGGCCGCAATAATTAGAACAAGGCTTTGGGGGTACATTGTAGAAAAATTATGACACGGAACCCTGGGAATAATGTTGGCAATGACGCCATAAGCTTTGTCGGACATAGTCGGATCGTCGGCTCGCTGGCATTCAAACACGATGATATGCTGCATATTGTGCTTTAATTAAAGGCTATAGCATATTTTAGCATACCATAAAATGCTGATTGTATCATACTGTAATGTACCACAATATACTACAGACATAATGTAACATACTATAATAAATACAATATACTACGACATGCTGCAATGTACTGAAGATACTTGGATTTGTGTGCGTGCTTGAGCATCTTATACACTTGCTTATTCATTTCTTGCTTTCTTTAATCATGCAGCACAACTCTCATCTCTTTCCTACTCGGCTCGCCTGCAAGGAGCTTGCGCTTGACCATTTCATGATGGCTGCCATGCGCCAAGGCATAGAAAGCCGGAAACACCCAAAGAGACGCCGTGAACACGAAGGATGCAGCCACCACTTTCCTCGCGAGCCGGTGTATTGTTTTTGTGAAGGACAAGCTGCTTTATGTTTTGTGAGACCTAGCGCGTAGACTTGTGTGGTGTGGGAAATTCTACAGTTGAGGGATGTTGAGGAAATAGCCTGTGTAAACCTGGCAAGATTTACGTAGTGCTGTGGGATGGCTTACCGTTGTTTTGGGTTCACCACCCGGGCAGTTGAGCTAAACTGAAACCATCATCTGAATCCCTGGACGCTGAACTGAACCCAACCTCTCGAACTAAACCCTAAACCTCCAAGATGTCTCTAAAAAACCTCGACTCATACCGGAGTGTGACGACGACGACGACGACGACTACTACTACTACTACTACTCCTACACTACTACTACTACTACTACTACTACTACTACTACTACTACTACTACTACTACTACTACTACTACTACTACTACTACTACTACTACTACTACTACTACTCCTACTACTACTACTACTACTACTACTACTACTACTACTACTACTACTATTACTACTACTACTACTACTACTACTACTACTACTACTACTACTACTCCTACTACTCCAACTACTCCTACTACTCCTACTACTCCTACTACTCCTACTACTCCTACTCCGAGGAGGAGCAGGAGTAGGAGCAGCGCGAGGAAGAGGAGGAGTAGTAGCAGCAGGCCGAGGAGTAGGGGAGGAGGAAAAGGAACATCCTGTCGCTCATAGTGTGAGAAACAAAGAACAGAATCAACATGTCACATGCATCAAAACACTAGCGACAACGACTAACACGAATGACACTGGAACTACGGGGAAGACTAACGTGACATTGATGGCGCCAAATCAGTCCTGAACCTTAATCCAGTGTGCGAAAGACCTCCTAGCCTGGGTCCAACCCAACCTTAAACCCCTCAACCTCGCACCTCTACACCGAATAAAGCCAAAGCCAGCTATCAAACTGATATAATTGCATCCTCATGGAACACCTCGTACATGAATCATAGGACCTGTTTACTAAATCTTCAGATATCCCTTACAAGCCTCTGCTCGAACCCCACAACCCCACATGCTAAGCCGATGCAAAACCGTACTATAGGGGCCTGAATAAGTTCCTAGACGATTTTGGGGACTCGTTAATAAAGTTATAGTATGATAGACACCCAAACCCTACTCTAATTCTTCAGGCCCCTACATTATAGAACCCTACTATAGATCCTTTATAGTATCCCTTAAAAAGGAGCCCTTTAAATGAACCCTATTCTGATTCTTAAGGCCCCTTTTATTAGAGCCCTTGCCTTTCCGCCCAGGCTCTCACCAAACGTCCAGGGCTGGGGTCTTCCGGTGCTGAGAATCTCCAGGGGTCTTTTTGAGGGCTTAGGAGTTTGTAGAGGTTAGGGGATAGGGGGGTTAGGGTTTTTTTTGATTTTGAGGGCTTAGGAGTTTATTAGAGGTGAATGGATAGGGGGGGTTGGGGTTTAGGGTTTATAAGGGTTTGTAGAGGTCAAGGGATGGGGGTTTAGGGTTTAGGAGTTTATTAGAGGTTAATGGATGGGGGTTTAGGGTTTAGGGGTGTGTAGAGGTTAGGGCCGGTTAGGGGATGGGGGTTTAGGGTTTGGGGCTTAGGGGTTTATAGAGGCTAGGGCTAGGGGATGGGGGCTCGGGGTTTAGGAGTTTGTAGAGGTTAAGGGATGGGGGTTTAGGGTTTAGGGGTTTGTAGAGGTTAGGGGATGGGGGTTTAGGGTTTAGGAGTTTGTTGAGGTAAGGGGATGAGGGTTTATATAGGGTTTAGGCGTTTGTTGAGGTTAAGGGGTGGGGGTTTAGGAGTTTATAGAGGTTAAGGGATGGGGGTCTGGGTTTAGGGTTTAGGGCTTGGGGTTTTCTTTCCGTTTATTTGAGGAGGCAGGTCGGGGGGGAGGTGTTTTGACGAACCTCGTTACAGATTTAGGGTGGAGCTTTGCAGAGCGAGGGTGTAGGAAGTTGTTGAAAAGGAATCCCAGGAGCGAGCCATGTCCTGAGGCTATACGGGGCTCTTTATTGCAAGTCCTGCCGAACACCCTCATGCCCCAAACCCGATTAAAATCCGGCATAACTGAACTGAACAAGGACAGAAGTAGCAGACTGGGCTGGGAACTTCGAGGACTTCCCTCATAGAAGAAACCCATCACAAAATGTCACGAATCCCTAACCCTGACTCCATTGCCTGAAAACCCGGAACAGTTAACCTTGCGCCCTACACTCAAAACTCAGCAAGTTTCCGCGGAATGCCTGCGTGGTCATGGACTTCGTAGGCTTAAAGCGCATGTACAGGACCAGATAGCACACTGAAGCCACCGACAAGGCAGCAGGTACCTTGCAAGGTGGGTTCTACAGGACCCCCTAAACCTTAACACCGAGACCCCCAGCCTAAATTCTCAAGTCCGCGCTCTACCCCGTCGGGTGTTTCGCGGCGAAGCAGTTCTCCCTACAGGTGTTCGAGGATTACCTGCGCAATTTCCTCTGGAACTAGGTCTGGGTATTTGGTGCCTTCCCCCTTGGCACTCAAACCCTAAACCTTTACGAAACCAGGAAAGAGACGTGGACTACAGTGACTACATTAGGAAAGCCCAGCTTGAGTGTGGTATAGTAGCCGGTAGAGTATTTACACCCCAACCATGGATTCGGGGTCGTAAAACCCACTTCTACAGATTGCGAGCCCACCCCAAAAATCCGAAAGACCATGGATGAAAAGAGCTTTGGGCCCTCTCCAAAATCCACGCTGCACAGCCGCACGCAGCCGACTCTGCCAACTCGTCAACCCAAACAGTCGCGTTTCAACTTACTAGTTACTAGACCTTTTAAGCAAAACCTGAAAAGTGCCTGAAACACTACACCTTGAATGCAAATCCCCCAACTCCTCAGCTACGATGTAGGCAAGCTCAGGAATGAGGGTACAAAACTTTTTGCCTCCTCTTTAGAGAACTCGGCATGCTTCCGAGAACCAACAATAACGAGAATAACTACAGCAAACCTTCACCCCAAACCATAAACTTCCTTTCGCCCCACCTTTGAATCACTGAACCCTAAACACTTCACCCTACACCGTGCAGCTGAGCCGCACCAACAACCATCCACCGCACGAAATCGATCTGTACACCCATCTCTCGTAGGAACCTTACGGCCACCAGGTTGGAGCCAGTTCCAACCAAGGTTCCTTGGGCTTCTGCAAGACTTTGCGAAGTTTAAGGCTTCTAGGGTTTAGGGTTTAGGGTTTGCAAAAGGGGGCGTCATGAGGCTAGTCTAATATACTTTATGACGTCGGGCTTCCACAAGACTTTGCGAACTTGAAGAGGCTTCTATAGAGTTTCACAGCGGGGGGTTTGAGGAGTCTAGTCACAGTCTACTTGACGACGTCGGCTGAGGGGGTTCCTTCGTGTTTGGTTGGGGATGGCTCTTCAGGGCTTCTATGCCCTACCCTAAACCCTAAACCCTAAACCCTGAATACCAAATCTGGAACTGTAAGTCCGGCACCCTGGGCCCATGACACCACGCCCCAATGCTCAGGTTTCCAGCGAGAAACCGCTGACGCTGAGCGAGTTTCAGGCTGGGGTTCGATGATGTTCAAATGAATTCACTGGCGGGTGTGGGCTTGGGGCAGTCAAGGGTGCTGGGTAGAGTCCAAGAAATCGGAATGTAAGAGTCTGTCTAGTAGCTCATGTATCTAAGAGCTGCACAACAGAATATTGCGTCGCAAGGCTCGCGGATAGTACCGCTACAAACGGACTATCTCAAAGGTGTGGAGTACCCGAAAACCCTAAACCGCTAAAGCGTTTAGGGTTCAGGGTGTCCCATGTCGCTGCTCGCAAGCTTGACATGAAAGAGCCTCCGCTGCCGCCAGCATTCCCCTGCCTTGAAACCTCTGAACCGCGTGGAATCTCTCAGGCTAAAAAGGGTTTAGGGTTTAGGACACCTCAAGGAACGCGGGAACCCCAGCAGAAGCTCTGGCAATGGCAACATTTTGCTACATCCTATGATGTAACAAAGCAATCCGGCAAGGCCGTTTTTAAGGAAACCCTCAAGACCCTCGCCCTTAAATCCCAAACCCCGGAACCCCGTCCGCAAGCACTGAACCCTTATATAGGGGCCTTATACTGTACATATAACAAGGAACCCCCCAAATAGTATTGGTAGTTGTTTAGGCCTCTATATTAATTAAGCCCGTGCCGGGGCACCCATGCCGCCAGTGTTGCAGGCATAGGCCACGGAGAGGAGCGATCCCATGAGCGTCCGTTGCTCCTCGTGGTCATCCAACCTCCTCTTTGCTGCGAGCTGCCCCAGACATCTAGTGAGGATGATGTACATGTCTTGAATGAACTTTGAAAACTGTGCCTTCAGATTCGGATTTATATCTTTTTAGTAGCAGCCCTCGGGCTTCAGTTACCTGAACCTTAGGTTAGTCGTCAAGTCTGATGTATCCCAGTAGCCCAACAGTAGGTCACTGGAGGTTCAGGGATTCCGTCGGGAGATTTCCTCCAGCCAACTTACCAGAGCCCCGTGATCCTTGACGAAGCGGGGAGGTGTCTGGCAGAGGCTTTGGAAACCCTGGGTTCGCGGCATTCCAAGCTGAGAGGGTTTAGGAGGTCAGCAGGATCGGGGCTTTCAGGGTTTTTTGTGAAGGCCTAGGCTCAGGGGATTTGGGAGTTGGAAGGTTCAAAAATTGCAGAGTTTATAGGGCTTCATCATTTAAGGGCCCTAATACTTTTAATGGCGTTTTTGGGAGTGTAGTACAATTAAGAAGGGACTCGAAAGTTGAAGGTGTGGGGGTTGGAGGGCTTAGGGGCTGAGTAGGAGGGCATGGTGCTGGTATTTCGGATCCCTAAACCCACAACCTGAATCCTTCCTTGCCTTCGCGGCCTATAAGGCTTCACTCTTCTTTTGCATAAGGCTGCATTTTGGCAGTAGAAAGGTAGTTTTCAGAGTCTGCTGGGCAGTAGAAGAAACGGATTTTAGAAGGCTTTGGCCGCCCAAGGTGCCTCTGCCTCTCAGCACTGAAGGATCTGAGGACGATGGGTGTGAGGATGTACGCCGATCCTTCCAGCTCTTACTCTTGGAAGCTCAGACCTAGGTTCGGTGTTCTAGGGCTGCATGGGGTGAAAAAAGAGCTTCGCCGGGTTCAAGATTCAAGAAAGTACCTCACAAGAGGGCGTAGTATGGCTTAGTTCTGCATGATGCGCTGCAAGGACGGATTACAGTCAGGGTGTGTGCATTCGAGACTCGCCAGTTAAGGTGTTGGCTTTAAGCTCAGCCCCTGGTACTACATGGGAGTTTCCGAAAACAACGGAACCCAAATATAGTACCCCTAAATATTAGGATCCTGATTTATAAGGACCCCAAAATACGGCACCCCTAATTTTCGAAAACTCCCACATCGTGAAGCTTCGGGGTCTGTTGGGCTCAAGGTTGACCTTAACCCCAAGTAACCTACCTTTTAAGGTCTTAGATAAAGAAATCATATTAGGGAACCATAAGAAGGTAGGTTCCTTAGGGTCCAGGGAGGGATTCGGACGTAGGGTTTGGGACCTTCAGGATGTCAGCTTTGGTTCGTAGGGAATTGAGGACTGGGGTAGCATTATAACTATTATTACTACCATTCTTCCATTCTCTACTAACCAAAGGTAAGCTTTGAGGTGGCAGGTAAGGGTAGTGGGGTTGCGGTTGAACCGTGTCGGATGTTTGAAGGGCTTCGCAGGTATCTGCAAGGGCTCTTTGTGTCTTGTCCAGAGAACGATGTCAGCTCTCGGCGAACTTAGAGGCGTGAAGCTTGAAGGGCTTCGCATGGCCTCATAGGTCAGATACCTATGTCGGTTCTACAGTTCTACAGTACTCCTCAGGCAACATGACGATTGCATGGGGTGGCAACGTCTGTTGGATCTAATGAAAGTTAAGTAAAACCAGCTGCGCAGGAACCCAATTATTCGCTGAAACGCCTTCAAGATAACTGGGAACAAGCGATGGCTTCGTGCTTGAATTCTTCAGCACATCTGAACTGATGAAGGTTGATAGGTTCTACTTGGAGGATCATGGGACTTCGTAACGAGGGTTATTATTAAGGTAACCATACTTGTAACTACTTCTAACCAAGTAAGGTACTTATAGCCATACTTACTAAGTCCAATGATCCTCCAAGTAAGGACCCCAACACGAACGGCAAAAACACTCCATCAGATCTGGGCCTCAGATGGAGATGCACCCTGGACTTCAAACTTACATAATGCAGGAACCTGATTTGAGGGCCTCTATTAGGGTCCTTATATAGGGGTCTATAAGGGTTACTACAAGGGATCTATAATGAGGGTACTATAGTAATATGTAGGAACCTGATTAAGAAGCCTTGGGCCTCTATTAGGGTTCCTTGTATGAATCCTACTATTTTGGGGTGGCAGGCCCAGGGTTGCTTAATCAGGTTCCTACATCACCAACATCCCAAGCCCAGCCTGTAAAGACTGCAAAGCCTACTGACGGCATTCACGGATGTCCTGTGTTCGTGACCCACATCGACATGACCTCGTCATGGCAAGTTTTCCTTAAACTCCACCCCAACCCGCAATCCCGAAGCCTGAAGCCCTCAACACTAAACCCTTTAACCCGAAAGCTCCAAAGCTTAAAGCCCCGAAGCTCAAGCCGATTCGGGCTTATAGGTTTTTGTTTTATAGGGTTTTGGATATTGCCCCGATCAGAACGCTATGTAGCAAATGCACGATACCATAGCAAACAGCCACCGCTGAGGATGGTGGTGAGGAAGATGAGTAGTACTCGAAGAGAAACGACGCAAGTGAAGGAATCACAGTAGGAACCCCTGAACAGCACAAGTCCGAAACTCTACTGCTGGCTAAACCCTAAACCCTAAACCCTAAACCCTAAACCCTAAACCCTAAACCCTAAACCCTAAACCCAAACCGTACAAGATCCTACAAGCCTGAAGACCCCAGCCCTAAGCCTAAACTCATAAGCCCTATAGTATAAGCCCCTTTTGCTCTTGGAAAAATGCCATCTGGGACTGCCAATACAAACTGATGGATTCTCATTCGCAGGCTTCAGGGTACGCTTCGATCTTCGGATTTAGGCGTTTCAAAATGGAGTTTCGGGCTGGTGTCGCTTCCGGGCTGAATGTAGGATTTAGGAGTCGGCGCTTCTGTAGTCGAAACCAAGCAGCACAGCCAGCCAACATCATGGCCATTCGCATCCTCGTAGGCTTCGACTCCACCCAAGAGCAGTTCGTGATGGCCTCTGCGTGGCTCTCATGTTTGGGGGGCCTTCACAAACTGGACATAGGTTTCGGGGCATGTTAAAGAATCAAACAAGGACAAGAGGTAAGGGCATGGCATCACCCAAATCCTTAGATAAAGGTGGCATTATGATACTGTCAATCTTATTTCAGACTTCTATATCAAGAGACATCTGCGATCCGAAACCCATAAGGTCCTGTCTTCGTCTAAATCATTAGGGCGCTTCGAGGAACCAGGGTTTTGGAGTTTGGGGTTTGAGACCGCTGTGGCCAATGAATGGTTGCGGAAGAGGTCCGATAGCCTAAACCCTACACTGTAGTAAAGGCTTCATTCTGAGCGCTAGGGAAAGCTTCAAAGCACACGCACTTTTGAATCCACACCCAAGGCTTCGGAAGCCTTTGCGAATCGCGCGTCGAGGCCGTGTCGCTCCATGGCCTTATCACAGCCGTCCAGGGCCAGGGTGTTATACCGGTTGTGCATCCCTTCATGATTCATAATATGTGTGTGTGTGTGTGTGTAGTAGTAGTAAAAAGTGGTGGCTAAGAGATGCGATCATTCGTTTAGCACCGTCGTTCGTTTCGGAATGAGGGGCTTCAAGCGCTACCCAGACAGAACATTAAATGTCTATAGTATATGGCCAAAAGGCACCCCGCAGACCCATAATAATGATTGATATTTCAAGAAACCTGGACAAATATTTCTAAGGAGAAACCAGTTTCGGATACGAAAAAACCTAAACCCTAAACCGCCATTATACCAAGAGTCTTGGGGCCCATTATACTATCATTGTGATAAGAAGCCCCCCTTATTTAGGCCCCTATATTACACCCCCATAGTACCCCTTATAGATAGGGAGTTGGACCCTTTTTGAAAGAACCCTTTGAAGGAACCGCCATAAGACCAAGAGACGATTGAGATGAAGGAGCTTCCAAACAATACCAGCGTCACGTTGCTGAAGTAAGCGGAGAGTGAACGGCCGAGGCGACATACCTGGGCCATGGTTGAGGTAAGATCAAAAACGTACATTTCTATTCCTTAGTGGCTTTAAGTAAAGATGTAAAATGTTACCCAACTATGACAAAGATACATCCAGCAGAAAGAGGAGCGGCCCCACGATCATACCTGTCCCAGATAAGGTGGTTTCAGGTACGGGGTCAGCGTCTGTAACATAGGGGCCCTTAATCATTAGAATAGGGATTGGGGCCCATTATACGATAATTATGATATGGAACCCCCAGAAGAGGATTGGCAAATATTGAAGCCCCTAAACCCTAAACCCTAAACCCTAAGCCCCTACATTCAATGATACAGCCCTTGGGATGCTCGAGCTCCAGAGGGCACTTGGCACCCGAGGACCGGACTGATTGAGGTGTTTGCGGTTTAGGTTTTAGGGTTCAGGGCTTCAGGGTTTAGGGTTCAGGCGTTCAGGGTTTAGGGGTTTAGGGGTTTAGGGTCTAGGCTTTCAGGGCAAGCGCCCACAGTCTGATTTGACATACACCCGGATTTCACGTCTGGGAGCACCTCTGAAAAACAGACTGCAACTCGAAGAATGCTCCCATCGTTCGTTTATCAGCAAGGCCAAACATGTTCTGAGACTAGCGGCTGTGCTGTATCTCCAGGGTTATGGGGCGGTCAATGCATTCCTGGATACTGATGCGGCCTGGGTGTTTAACATAAGGTGCTTACTTTACTGTTAGAATAGGGTGTGGGATGTGTAGTCTGCTTAAGGTTTTTGCGGCTCCAACGCCTTACATAAAACCCAAAACCTTAAACCGGCTGGCTTGACCGCATTGGCCACCACCGGCCGTGCCTGTGAGTGGTATGGGGATTGCCTCCGAGATCCACATGATCGCGGCAAAGATGAGCACGCCCAGAGTCCTGCTTGAAACGCCGTAAAGTTGTCGAGTTACACTGTAGAATGTAAGTCGGCGGCCTCACACACAAATGCCATGTCGGCATATCTTAGCTCTAGTTCCAAAACAAAGCAAACTCACAACCCGCAAGACCACTGGCCCGAAGACGCCTAAATCCCCAATCCTGAGCCGTCCATCCAGATCCGGAAACCCGGAAAGCCCCAACATGAAGAAATTCCAAACATCCACCCCTCCTGTGCTGCCTGCGTGTAAGGGAGCTGGACGGCTCCTGAGGAAAGGTACAGAACGTCGTAGTCTTTAGAGTCTTCGGATTTCAAGGATGCCCGCCTGTAATGAACATAAGATGCTAAGTCATCGGGCCTCGGGCATACATCCGGGGCTCCGGGTCCTGCGGGTTACCGTTATGTGCAAGAGCTCACTGATGACAGATCCGACTTTGCTCGGCACATAACGTGCAGCCACTATGGGCCCAGAGGCGGCAGACTCCATTCTCGCTTCTTGATACTGCGGGTCACAGCAACAGAGGGAAGGGTTTAGGGTTTAGGGTTTAGGGTTTGGGTTTAGGGAAGACGCCAAATGATAACTTCAACAGCGGCAGCACACGCCGACCCACGGCCAAGCTGACACTTCAAACTTGTTGCTGCAACTGCCAAGCATGCGCACACTTCGTTAAACATACCAGGCGAAATCCCTAAACCCCAAACCCAAGACTTAACCTAACGCATTTAACCCAGACTCTGTGATGAGGAAGCCGACGATGGTCGAAAGCGCCAGGAACAAGCCAATCCATTGCCTGGCAGCGGAAAGGTGGAGTTTAGGGTTTAGGGAGTTAGAGGTTTAAGCTTCGGGTTTAAGATTTGAGTGATTTAGGGTTTTAGATTGAGCGTTTAGGGCTTAGGGTCGGGTTTGTAGGTTTATGACCTACATAGGGCAAGGGATCGGGTTTCTGCTTGCTGCAGCCTTACATTACGGAATGCTGGCTAATCAGGGGGCTTTGGGTTGGGGGGAGATTGAGGCTGATACATTCACTAGAGGGTTTAAGGTTTAGGGTGATGGTGACAGCTACGATAGACTAGGGTTATGCGTGTATATAAGTATATATGTATATATGTGGTGTGCATGTGCTTACGTATTTAGCTTGCTCATGTATCTGTTTCTGCGACTAACGATATTGATTTATCTATTCGCTCATTCACTCACAAACCACTCACTCACTCATTCATATTCCTTCCTTCCTTCCTTCCTTCCTTCATTCATTCATTCATTCATTCATTCAGGTATCTATTCATATTTATAAGCAGATTTGTATACATACGTACATACATACATGCAGACATGCTAGGTTGGTTAGGTGAACATTGGAAGTCTTCCATACTTAACCGCTAAGGCTAAGATCACTGCTACGGAATGTCTAGTCTGGTGAAAGATCGAGCTTCTATCTCCGAGGTCATTGCACTACGGTTGATGAGGTAACGCAGGATTTATATCATCAACCGTAAGGCTGTTCTTGTGTTAACTCATGTGAACTCGCTTCGAGTGCACGCTCGAAGGTTTCTCCGATTGATCGTAAACCCCAAACCGGACTAAGGACAATTAGCGCTGGGATTCCCTGTACATGAATTCTAGGGATTGAGGCTATTAAGTTTCCAACTTTTATGCTTCTACTGTACGGTTCGTGGTTGCATGACAGACATCCAGATATGAAATGGGTTCTGCACCACGGCCAACGGGCGAAGCCACAACTCTCCTGACTACGACTACCTGCTTGAAGGCTGAGGGACTTAGTGAGTAGATCAAAAGTCGTTATATAAGTCGGATTACCATATGTGGAGTACTACCTCTACTTGAACCCTCAAGAGTTTTGGAGGGCAGGGCCTTGTACTCTTTGGAAATCCCCTGAGAGTCCACGTACCCTGAGAATTAGAACCAGGGCCTCCTTTCTGAGTTCGTCTGTCGCTGCTTTAAGAAGGACCGCCCAAAAGGGGCTCTCTGGAAAAACCCACCATGTGTTCTGGACCGCAAGGTATATGGTATAATGCGTAGTGAGTTGGCGAAGGCTGACCCTCCGCGATTCAGGATTCTCTGCTTGGAACGCAGAGCTATTTTTCGAGCGTCGACCCTCTGAAGAGCTTCAAGTGTCAGAAGAACAGGCTCAGGGTTTAAAACTGCTCCAAGCTCCAGATGGTACTCTCTAAACCCTAAACCCTAAACCGACTCTCTACAGTCTGGGCATTGGGCTTTAGATCGAAATCCGTCGCTTCTCGACCCAAACTTCCGAGGACCAGACGGAGCCCAAGACCCTAGAACTCAAGCGCGAAACACCTACAGCACTAAACCCGAAATTGCAAATCTGCACCCTGAAACCCAAGCGGATTACACCCTACACAAAAAAACCTACAGCCCCGTACTTCGTAATGGTTCCTTTGAGAAAAATATTCACTTTATTTCATAATGGTTCCAAAAAGAAAACTATACACTTTTATTTCATAATGGTTTCTTTAAGAAACAAGTATTAAACTATGGTACTCCAAAGCCCAGTGATGGACTGTGAGGCTTCACCAGTTTGCAAAGTGCAGCCTGCTTGACATGTCATCGCCACCACCGCAATGGTCCTTCCCGGAAGGACGGCTCGCGGGACGGATTCATGGTTTACTCCTGTTAGAGGGTCTTGGGGGGGGGGGGGGGTTAGGAGTTTAGGGTCTAGAGCTTGTGGCTTTGTGGTTTCGGGCAGCTGAACTCTGAACCCCTAAACCCTAAATCCCTAAACACTAAACCCCTAAACCCTAAACTCTAAAACCTAAACCCTGAACCTCCTAAACCCCGCTACGGGAACACGGAGTTGCTAAAGGCACCCGAACAAACTGCTTGAAACAGTGGCATACATGTCTTGGGGCTGAGTACCCTGGCCCAAACAAGTTTAACCTTTAAAAAAATATGCAAAGAACCCGCAAACAAGGAAGGCCTAATTGAGAAACCCACCCTCTGAAAAACGCCTTAATAATTCGAATGAATAGGGTTTGGGCTCCTTTAAAGTGTATTTATGAACAGGAATCCCTAAAATAGTATTGGTACTTGTTTGGGCACCTATAGTGAACCCCGGAAAGTTGGAACATGGTTTTAGGATGATTAGTGCTATCATTCCCTCTACTTTACCTTAAGGGGATGAGGATAACGATGTTCCAACTTTCTGGCTTCTACTGTATAGTATCCCAGCATCGATCCCCAAAGCGTAACAAACCACCGCGATGAAAACGACAACTCCTACGGTTGATGATATAAATCCTGCATTACCTTAAGGACCCTAAACGATGGGAATTATGACATATTCCTTATTATGGGTAATGCAGGATTTATATCATCAACCGTAGTAAGACCACCAGCACCACCACTAATATAGGGGCCTTAATATTTGGAATAGGGTTTCGGGCTCCTTTCTGGTATAACTTAATCATTGGAATAGGGTTTTGGGCTCCTTCTATGATAAGGAACCCTAAGGAATAATATTGTTATTTATTTAGGCCCCTATAGTACGACCTACAAGACAACCGATAGGGAACCACCAGGAAATCACCCAAAGACAGCCAGGAGCGATGGAGGAGCAGGCCCGAAATGCTCCCCGCGAATGGATCGTGTAGGAGGATAGTGCAAAACCCTGTAGTCGGCCCTTAAGCTTAAACCCTAAGCCCTGAACCTTAAACCCTAAACTTTAAACCCTAAACTTTCAACCCTGAACCCTAAACCCTCATCTTGAAAATCTACCCAATCCCAAAGCCCATCCCAAAGCCCAGGCATACCCAGCCTGCGCCTCCTCATCCCCTTTGTGGACACGAGCTCGGCGCCTTGTGTGGTTTTCTCGGTTGAAGGCTTATATGGGTGGTTGTCAAGATTATGGTCCCTTTTGGGTCCCTATTATAATACGGCACCTCTTATTTAGGGTACCTAAAAGGGGACCCCTATTTTGACAACTACCCATACAAGAGTTCTGAGTTTAGGGTTTAGGAGATAGGGCTTTGCTTTTGGGGCTTCCGGTTTATGGTTCAGATTATTTCAGATTCAAACACCTCTCCCTCGGCCCGGCATCTTCTGAGGCTGAGTTCAACCGACAGAGTCAAACCAGGTCAGATCTATTGAGATCGAGTGAGACCACGCAGCCTGTACGGTCTGAGGGTTGGGGCTTTCGGTTAAAACGTTTCTAACGGTCGCAACTCACCAACTTTGTTAAGATAGTCGGTCGCATTCTGGTAGCCTCCACGAGCGAACGCAAAGAACGAAGGAAGACAGCACAGGGGGCTTGGGATTTAAGTGGGTAGTTGCCAAAATTATGGTCCCTATTGAAAACCCTATAATATTAGCTGCCGTACTATATTAAGGACCACAAATAAGGGAGTGGCATCGTCGGCCGTAGACCTGGAAACTTACAGACTGAGCTCTGAAGCGCCCAAAAGCCCGTTAGGGTTTAGGGTCTAGGGTTTAGGGTTTAGGCCCGTAGACCTCAAGACCTCCAATACTGTTGATGATATAAATCCTGCATTACCCATAATAAGGAATATACCGTAATTCCCATAGTCTAGGGTCCTTAAGGTAATGCAGGGTCGTACTAAACTACCAAATCTCCGAAACCCTCATCCCCAAAACCCTAAACCCCAAAACCGTAGCCCCTGAACCCTAAACCCTAGAATCCCAAACCCCAAACGCTAGAACCCTCAGCCTTCCACCGGCCTTAGAAGTTGGATTGCATGTACACTTCATTTCTCGGTAGCGCGAAGTTCGCCCTATTAGGGCTGCAGGACTTCATCGATGCATCCTCCAACTTATTGGGACTTTGAGCTTATACTGCAGAATTTCGAAACTTGGGGCTTAGGCACGTAGGATTAACTTAAATGCTTACAGGGCTGCTATGAGGAAATTGAGTAACTCTCGGACCCCAAACCCTCAGAAGGTGCCGTAAACTCAGACAAGCGGCTTACAGAGGCCACGCAAGCAGAAGCATCCTTCCTGGTGCTGTTTGGGCTCGGCCCCTCATAGATGCAGTGCGCCCTACAACGTGCATCAAGCTCCTGCGCTGCTGTCCACTGTAGCAATGCCACCCGAGTATGTCAAGACTCGTGTCAGCGACAGGGACTCTCACAGAATATGAAACCCTTGGAAATCATAGCAAAAAGTTGCAAAAGAAACTCGCCATCCTCACGAAACCTGACCCGCTCCTCTTTGACTTCTCCCTCTGACGTGGAACCATCTGTAGACTCCTGAGCTTTCATCATGCTTTAGGGCCCCATGGCCCTTGGACCCCAAACTATGACATAAACCCTAAACCCTCAAGTATTCGGGTTTAAATGTTTAAAGTTTAGAGTTTAGGCTTTAGGAGTATTAGGGTTTAAATGCTTAAAGTTTAGAGTTTAGGGTTTAGGGCCCTGAACTACCACAGAAAAAGCCTCAGAAACATGAGCTTCTTAGGGCGGCCTCTGAGTTTCCAACCTGCCCAAACCTTGAGGCCCCCCGGAGGCTGCAAAGTTGCCACTTGGGGAGTCCTACAAAAGAAGGGTCCCCTTTAGAAGGGTGCCTTACTATTTTGGGAACCTGCAGAAGGACCTTAAATTTTTAGAGCTATCCATATGAGACATCGGATTCCTTCAGAACATCAAGACGTCAAACAATTCATGCAGCATGTAAGCCTTTACAACCCCGCAAGAGGAACCCTAAAGCCTTTAAGCAACTCAGTAGCGAATCCTCGAACTTGTGGACTGAACGGACAGGAAGCCAAGACGCATCAAAAAACTAGTCAGCTAGGGAAGCTGCATACCAGTGTCGCTGCAGCTCTAGGACACTATCTAGGGTGTAGGGATTAGGCTTCTCGGAGCCTGCTATTTGCAGCCTTTGACTGCACATCCACGGATATAAGGGTTGGGGCTTAACAGTAACGTGCAGGCAGGCGGCATCGTGCAGTGCCATCTTGAAAAGCTCGAACTCTCAGTGTGAGAAGTTGAGAGATTCCAGGAGTTCGGAGGGAGGAGTGCAAAGACAGTACATAATAATTGTAATTCTAATAGTAATAGTAATAATAATAATAGTGATAGTGATAGTAATACTAACAAATAGTGATACCTTTCCTACCCTAGGGGCCCTTTTTGCAGGTGTAGGGTTTAGGGACTCTGGTGTTCGGGGGCTGCGGGCTCCGGGCTGTGCAGTCGAGGGTTCGGTAGACTCTCAACAGATACCTTAGGGTTTAGGGTTTAGGGTTTAGGGTTTAGGGTTTAGGGTTCCCGATGAAGCTTGAGCCACACTTTGGTGCCGGGCGTCTTCAAGACTTCAAGAGGCTACAAGGAGCTTGGCAAAAGTTTATCTCGCGAAACAATGTAGGATGATCACACGATCAGCCGAGAATCCAACTTCTGCTAAGCAGGGCCAGTAGGAACCAGTCATGCCGCAGAGATCCTATAGGAGCAGACACTTCCATCCCGCTTTAGCAGAGTCCCCTTTTGGGTATCAGCAATCGATGGCTTCAGCTCGGCCCCCTGAGAGCGAAAAGCCCCAAGCTCCACTCTGGACCGCCAAACCTGCTAACGCAACGACTCCACAACAGCAGACATTGTAACACTTACATTATCATCCGTATGGGACATGTTGTGTCTCAACCGCAGCCCTCATGTGAGCACTCCCTAAACCTCTCATCCCTTAGAAAGCCACCCTAAACCCCCTAAACCCTAAGACTCGAATGCTGTGCGCCTCCGAGCTCGATGCTCGCGATCTCGTTCCGGGCCAGGCGGAGAGACGCCAAAGACTCGCCGAGAGAGGTGGGGGTTATGACTTTCTGTCTGATCTGGCCCTGGCGTTGCTTTATGAAATTTAATTAGGGTTTAGGGTTTCGTTAAGGCTTCAAGGGTTTAGGGTTTCTTTTAGGTTTCAAGGATTTCGGGTTTAGGTGGGAATTGTTGCCGCTTAGTCGTGGCATTTGGGTGTGTATGTGTATGTATGCGTAGGTATGCGTGCACGGAGGTATGGGTGAATGTAGCTGTGTACGTACGTATGTGGGAATGTGCGTGTGTGTATATATATATATATATATATATATGTGTGTGTGTGTGTCGATAGTATTTGTGTGCACCAACCGCATTGTCAGCACCTTCGAACCATGAAATGGGCATCATCGTTGGCAAACCTGAACCTTTGAGCCCACAATGCACTCCAACTCCTCGAGCCATCAACGCTCAAAATCCTGCCAAATGGGTGGTTGTCAAAATTATGGCCCCTTTTTGGGTCCCTATTATAATACGGCACCTAATATTTGGGGTACCCCAAAAAGGGACCCTAATTTTGACAACTACCCAAATCCCACATGGTTCGGCCTGGAGGGGCAATGGTGCCAATTGCGTTAGCCTCGGGCATCTGGGAGCATGAGTCGAAAGTCGGGTCGTTGTGACAGGCCTGCATTCTGCCAGAATTTGCAGCTAGTTCACAATGGATGCTTGCCCAAAACCTCCCGATGGGGGGGGAAAGCTCCTTTGCGTTGATCCTTATATTCGGTGGGAGAATTTGGGCATCGAAACTGGGCCTGAGGCCCAGGCCAATAGCGTAAACTCCGAAAGCCCAAACTCATGCCTCGAACCATACCCCTAAGCGCAACCCTGAACCCTATATTTTGCAAATCATCGAACAAAGCTATATACAAATTAAACCAGAAGATCCCAATACTCATGTCAAAGCTGAAACCTTACTACATCCTGCGCTGTGCGCCGGTTGGCTTCGTCGAAGTAAAAGCATGGGTCTCACGCCTTTGGGTTTCGACAGCTTAAGTGTAGGCATTGTTGGCACTATGGGGCTCTAAAGCTGTTGCGGTCAGTGTTGCTTCCAGCTTTGAGATTTCGGAGTTGCCTTGTTTCTGATTATACTGAGAACCTGGGAGTCATGTGCTCAAGTGAAGCTCCTACCCTCCAACGGAGATGCTGTGGTGTAAGGGGCTAATGTTGCTTTAAGTGCACCTGCACAAAGCATTGAAGAGTCAGCCATAGTTTCCTACAAGACGTCATCCGCTATTTTATCGGGTAAGAGGAGAGAACATTTAAGGTTGTGATTTGATGGTTCAAGGCTTGTAGGCTTAGGCAAGAAAGCCCCCATGTACCAACGACAAGTAGCTGATTGTCACTGAGGTCCAAGTCAATGAGGTTGGTGAAGATGGGCTGCACAGTGAGCGGAAGCTCCAAGCATAAAGGGAACTCCAGAAAGTTGGAATATGGTTTCAGGGTAGGATACCTTATAATTTGCCATAAAGGGCTTAGGAAAATCATATTCCAACTTTCTGGCTTTTACTTTAGGAACCTTGAACCTCAAACCCTAAACCCTTAGCCATGATCCCCCAACCGGGAACCGTGAAGCCTGAACTGCTGAAACCCTTTAAGGCTTAGGTCCGGGATCACGAAGTGCGTGGATGAGGGGGTCCCGTCATGCATACATTTTCCTGGTGCTTTTAGTTTTTGGCCTCAAGATTATCTCATGAACGCCTTCAGCTTCAGAGAATACGTACCTCTGAGGATACGACCATATGGGGAATTAACGGATACCCCACTACCACCGAAACAACTCCTAGGAATGGACTAGCAAATTTCACTATTTCCCCTGGGGCTGGGTTGGCCTACAGGTATTTCTGAATCGGGTGAAACGATGCTATTTCATAAAGTTTGCAACATATGATTGGCGCGACGGTCCAGCTGTGGTCATAAACAACGGGTTGGAATCTTAACTGCGGCTCCAGCTGCAATAGGCAGCTTTCAACGACGGGGGTTTAGAAGTTTAGGGTTTAGGGTCCCGGTCCTAGGGTTTAAGGTGTTCACTGCATTTCGCTCCGAATCTTTTTTGGGCGCTGCGCACTGAAGTCACTGCAGCTGCAATAGACAGCTTTTAACGACGGGGGTTTAGGAAGCTAAGGTTTAGGGTCCCGGTCCTATAGGGCTTAGGGCTTTCACTGCATGATCTCGCTCCGAATCTTTTTTGGGCGCTGCGCACTGACGTCGTTGACACAAGAGTCTTGAGCATCACAGGCGGTTCACAGCTGCTCGTGCAACCTTCGAAATGGAAAACCTAAAACCCTAAATCCCGGTAACCCATAACTACTGGTGATAGTGACTTGTAAACAGCACAAAACAGCCGAGACTACCCGCGACCTGAACAGGAAATGGTCTCACGTGTCGCGGTGATGCACACTGCCATCTCAACCCACTGGCAGCCGCTTCGAGCTGCACACCACAAGAAAAATATACACAGACAGGACACTACGGGAAAATGGCAACATCGACATGCGATCGACTCCTTAGCCTGAAAGTGCCGGTGCTGGTGCCCATGCCTGCCTCACCTGCTATGCCTCGTTCGCTTTCTGCCCTGGCTTTGGCTCATCTGCCCTAGGCTTCCCCTGATCCTTCAGGATTTGGAGAATCTGTTCCATCCGTGTCACGTTCTGCTGGCATGCACGTTGCAAAAAGACAGCCTCCTCATACTTCTGGACATGCTTCGTCAGGAATGTGAAGAACCCCTTCCGAAATCCATAGATGAGCGGACAGTTGCCGGAGATTTCGACAACTAGCCAGCCGGTAGGAATAAACAATGCAACTTGCGGCTTCAAGGTGCACTGCATCCACACAATCCCTTTGCCAGGCAAGGCTTCAAGTGCTGGCTCATCCAGGCCTCTCAACGTATTAATGGCACACTCTGGGAGACCAGGCGCGTCATCTTTGATCTCAAGGGCCGCCAGCAAGCTGGACCATTCGATCAAAATGTAGCGAGTCTCACCAACAGCAAGGACCCTGACGCACGGAGCATGGTTGGGCAGGAAGGAAATTGTCTTGTGATCAGGGCTGAGGCCATACAACCACACGCTGTCCGTGAACTGTTTGCCGCCAGAAACTGGTGTTATGTCCGGTTGCTGCCCGCGGGGCTTGAGTGTGGCAGCGAAGTCATTGACAAGGCCACGACCGGATTTTTCGTCCAAGGGGAAAGTTGCACACGAAATCTTGGCAGCTGCCATGGTTCTCTTGTATTGGGATCCCCATGTGCCGATGGCCTTTTGCACAACAGGATCTCCAAGAACTGCAACCAACTCGGTGCTGCAATCCATCATCCAAGGCTTCGCAAAATCCGGGGTTGAACCTGACGTCGCCGTTGGTACGGCGGCACACATGCTGGCCGGCATGTCAACGGTATAGATTTTGGCCACAACACTTTGCTGATCCAGCTTCCTTTTCTTAATGGCTTCAGCTTGCTGCTTGGCCTCGTTCCGCACACGCTGCAAGTCATCTTTGGCCTTCTGGTCAAGTTGGCGCTTCTTCTCCCGAGAATCCTCTGCAATCCTGAGCTTCATGTGTTTGGTGAGGTCATCTGCGGACTGCTTGATGGCTTTGGGAAGTTGCAGAAAAGCCTTCTCACTGGCAAGCCATTCCTGCTTGTACTTCAGGAACTCCTGAGGTTCTTTGCACTCGAGCAAAGTTTCCATAGAGTCCTGCACAACATCCAGCTCCCGCAAAACATTCACACCGCCGTCCCAGAACTTGTTCTTGCTGGTGCGAGGCTCAGCAAGGAAACCCTCGAAGGATAGAAGCTTCCGCTGCTCAATGAACTCTGAGCTCACCGCATCAGCAGCACCCTCAGAAGCTGTGGCACTCACTGCCTGATTCGGGGTACCCGGCTGAGACTGAGCAGGACCGAGAGGAACATGCCCGGATGGACCCGCAGAGCTCACAGAGGAGTCTGGGACCATCCAGCACATGTCCTCCGGCTTGCCAGCACAGCGGAGCCCTGTCTCCAGCCAGAAGGAAAGGAGAGCACGATCGGAGGCTCGGAGTGGTGCAGGGTATTGCTCGTACTCCTTCACAGCCGCCAGTGCTACGGGCACCACCTTCTTGAATTCACGTCGAATCTTTCTCAGAGAGGAGTCCATAGCTCGATGCAGCTGAGTCGGCTCCCGTGTCAGGTTCACGGCTGCTACCTTCTCAGGAGTCAAAGTGTCCTCCGCGGTTTCACCCAACAACTTGTCGGCGTCTGTCCCAGCCTTTTTCTTGGGGGTGACTGGCGGCACACCGCTGGCGACATCTGCAACCTGCTCGGCTGTGAAAGTGAAGCGCTCGTCGTCGAAGCCCAAGTGCTGACGCCGAAGATGATCCTGGCAACAAGTGTAATGAAAACAACCAGAGAAACAAACCGATACTGTATAATAGCTCACCCATCATACCAATACTATCCTATACCGTCTGGCCCACAGAAATACTTCAAGGGAAAACATTTGAAACCAACATGAGACCCGAGCCTGGAGCATCTTCCGATCTGCGTCTGTCGGCGCTTTGAAGTCCTCGGATCCTTCAATCACCTGATTGTCGACGTAATGTTCCCTTGTGTCCACATCCAAGTCGTGAGCCGGGATCCATATCCTTTCAGCCCCCTTGTGCCCCTCGTTGTCCCTCCTGAGGGTCTTGTTGGCGACATAGACCTTCCACTCCTCCTCAGCCTCCTCTGTTGACAAGCCGAGGACGTTCTCCGCATACTTGTAGTATGCCCTTTCTGTGAAAGGCTTGTTGCCCTTTTGCACTTGCTTTGACAGGCGTTGCCCAGTGACACGACAGAATTTGGCAAAGTCAAATAGCTGTTTTTTTTTGAGTTCCGGTGGGTTATCGGTGGCGAACTGCTCCACCACCTTCCCAGCCTCCCCATCGTTGGCCATGCCCTTGTCGAACGCCTCCTTCTCCTCGTCTGTCAGAGAGCGAGTGCGTCTCTGGTAACAGAGGTTGTCCCAGGCCTTCTTGTGGTGGAACAGACTGCAGAATCTGGACCCAGGATACTTTGGCGCTGTGCAGTTCGGACATATGCATGTCGTAACCGGAGCAGCTTTCTTTCCACCCCGACCAGCACTCTGATTCTTGCCAGCAGCCTTCGTTCCACGTCCCCGGCCCCGCCCGCCGCGACCACGACCTCCTCTCCCCCTCCCGGGCACATCCACATCCGCAGGCATTGCAGTGTCATCCGCCCCTGTCTGCTCAGGCTCCTCGAACCCTTCTTCTGTTACCATTCCTGACATGCCTGAACCTGCCAAGGGTCAGGCTCAGAACAAGAACAAAGCTGTTCGGAACGCAAAGCGAAGAGCACACCACAGATGCTTGAGTCGGCAAAAACAAGACATGCCGGGCCAATGCTGGGATGCAACTCAGCAGCACACATGCACATGACATGAACGTGATTTGCAACCGCCACATATCTCCACATCTGCAGACGACCAAATGACAAAAGGAGAGACAGAGAAAGAGCGAGCGAAAAACAAAGAGTCAGAGAGAGAGAGAGAGTGTGTGTGTGGTGTTGAAGTTGCTGTGCTCAGGTGTTCATGTGGGTCCGTGTGGTGAAGGTGTGGGTGTGTGGGGTGGGGTGTGGCTAGCGAAGTATCTCTGGAGCATGGAGTGTGGAGACAACGACTGGGCTCTAGACTCGCGACAGCACCCGCACCACACACTCGCCGACACGGATGGCTATTTGTCATCCGAGGCATCCAATCTCATCATCTTCTACCTGGAACACTTCACGAGTTCACGATGCTCCGGGTGTCCCCACATGACTGTCGACACTGAAAACACAGTAGACCTCTGAAAGGAGCCGCCGTGGAAGCAAAACAGACTATATCAGTGTTCAGCAAACGCACGGCAAACAACAGATTGTACCTTTATTCAACAAACACACTGCTCTCTACACACTTGTTATAACAGCTGCTTCACATCTTCACATCTCCACTTTCCACGACGGATCCACACTTCACCCTGCCCCTTGAAGCTTGACAAGATGCCCCCTGTGCTGACTTTGTCTCACAGACACTATGAATGAAGTACTAGTCGTCTGCCCTCGAAAATTGATTGGGCAGAGCACGACGTGGCCTGGCGTCAAAGTCACCGAACTCAGCAGACTCAGTCGATGCAAGATCACAGCATTCACCACCATCACCACCGTGGTCGGCAAGAAGATCGCGATCAAGAGAATCACCCTCAGAATCATCATCAGACCTGTGCACCTCACCCTCGCGAGAAGCTGCTTCATGCCCACGTGGATCTTCATAGGGCTTGGGAGGGTTCGATGACCAATAGTTTGCCATCTCCTTCGCCAGATGAAAGGCGTTGCAGATGTAATCCCCATAGAAGGTAAAGCGCCTGGTACGATTCTTGTGGAACACACTCCACGACCCACGAAGGTCGCATACGAGTCGCACTGACACTGGAACACCATCCTGGCTCCATTTCAGTGTGTACTGGTGTTTACCTGACGGTGGTGTAGCAGGAAGGGCAGCTGTGGGCAGCAGCTCTAAAAGCCGGTAGTACTTCTTGAGCAGCTTACCATATCTCGGTATGGTTCTGGGCTCAGGCTCAGCACTGGTGACTTCTTTAGCCTTGCGCTTGGGCACCCGCTTCTTCTCAATCTCACTGGTCTCCTGAAGAGGCATTGCAGGACTGTCAACCCCATTATACAGCTTGCACTCTAGACAATCCAGCACTCCTGCTGATGGATCACAGCAATGGCTCGATCGGGCGCATCGGAACTGGATGCACTGGGCATGCTTCTCGTGATCACAGAGAAAGCTGGGAAAACTACCCTGGCAAGAATAACAAGGCTTCCAGACAGGCAAACCAATGACGTTGCATGGCACTCACGGCAAACAAGCTCAGCAAAAAACCCTCAATCCTGGCAGACGCGACACTTCTGCAAAAAACATGTCTGCTTCTCGGCTGCCTACTGCCTATGCAACGGAGCTGTTACCGTGACATCACACATGTTCCACTTTTACGTCACTCATGCGACTCGTCCAGAGCTCAAGCAGCTTGCGGACCACCGGACCACCCCGGAGCCTTCATCGACAAACGGCGGACACCGACACTAAATTTCTGACACTGAACCAATGCTTGTTTCAAGTGCTACAACATTTCAACACACACAACAGGCCCTAGCCGGTCTGCTCTTAAGAGTCTGGCACTGCAACTGATGCGGAAAATGCTCATGTACAAAACTGCGACAGCCACGAAATCAATTTGCAGTCCACAGTGTTCAAGCCTCGAGAGACATCGGGACCTCGTCATCAGACCCAACAGAATCATCCGAGAGGTTTGAGATGCGAGGGCCCGGAGACGTTGTCTCACGCTTGACTGTGTTACAGAAAACATACAAGTTCCATGCCAAGATAACCGGCAACGACTGGGAATTGCCTGACTGGGATTTGGTATGTCTGTCCGCCTGCCCCAGCACATACGGACCGAGATCCCAACAGAATCTCTCGGTCGCACGTCTCACAGCATGGAAGCCTAAGCTCAAAAACCGCTCGGATGGTGTCACGAAACGAGCTCTGCTCATCTCCAAAATGCTGCCGTGTGTGAGGAGACAAGGCATCATGGGGCCGTAGTCTGGCCCTGGGGAATGTGGCCAATGGTCCAGATCACAAAAAAACGTCCCGTCCAGGCCAGCATGCTCAGCACGGAAGGCTTCATATGCCTCCAGTCGTTGCAGATGGCCTGGCGCCAGGAGCATTTGGAAGAGTCCCTCTCCTTGAGGCATGGTCTCGGGGTAATGGCTCCGCTTTTGGAGCTGCAACCTGAGCCACCGTTGCACGTCGGCCTCATCTTCCTGCAGGAAAATGCTTCCATTCACTCTTGGGCTACGGGCAAAAAGCCTTTCGAACTCATCCTGAACTCCCTCGTCAGTCTGCGGACCCACCCAAACAAGAGAGCGAAGACTGAGGCCGGCTGACAAGAGTCTTTCTCTTGATGTCGGCCACCCCATAAGACGTGGGCCGGTGACCACCTTGATGATCCTGTGTGTGTCCCTCAATGGCTCTCTGAGGCATTCTTCGACATCAAAGAGCGGCGTGCACTCCTCGAAAAACATGTCCTCCTCTCCGGCTTGACACAAGTGCTTGCGGCTGGCAACCCAAGCTGCCAAAGGCACCTGGCTTTCGTGAGACGCCCGTGCCCTTTTTCCTTCTTGGCTCCAAGCCTGGCAACAGTTCCCTGCATGAGCGATCACCAGAGCCCCTGGATTTGGAAGCGTGTCACGCGGCTTGTTCACGATGCAGTTCTTCTTGTGAACCAGGCAATGTGCCCGGTGCTCCTCGCCGACGTGAAAACATGCAACGGGGTAACAGGTTCAGCTCTGAATGACATTGGGACACAGACCACAGACTCGCTGACAGCATGGTGCAACTCAGCTCAAGTTGCAACCTAGCAGAACCTACGGTGACAATTCAGGGTTTGGGATGAACCTCTGGTTACCAGAACCTACACTGACGATTCAGGGTTTGGGATGAACCTTTGGTCTATGGAGTCCACAGATGTCCTGATCCACAACCCAGCTGTTGCCCAGGAGGAAGCTGCGAATCTCCGAGTTGATTCGCTGGTGGTTCTGAGGGGACCCTGCTGTAGAGTTGTCTTGCACTGCGGCACGACACCATGCTTGTGCATCCGGCACTAGTTGATGTAGAATGTCTGAAAACACACAAGACGACCCCTCATCGCATGTATGGGAGGCCATCTGCAGGATATCCTGGCAATGGGGATCACTGTCACAGGACTTCCTGAAAACATGTGGGACGTGCCAACCATAGATCTCACGAAAGACCTGCAAAAGCAATCTCTTTGCCTCCCTTTCAGCTCCGATCCCGGAGTAATCAGAATGCTCCACCATGCCATGCTGCAGCAGAGCCCTACAGCGAGCAGAGTAGTCAGAGTTCGAGAAGAGGACCTGGGTGATATCGATAGGATAGTCAAACATCTCATCCAACGATGCCGGGCCCGGGGGCAAGGAACTCCGAGCTGAGAGGTCAGCCAAGGACCCGTGCCGATACCTTCGCCTTCGACCGGAGCTTTTTGCAATTGGAGGCAAAACTTGCCACCCCTCTTCCAAGCCCTGGTCAGGAAAGTCCATGGCCTGCTGCCTAACTACAAGAGGCTGCCCTTTAGTGTTGATACCTGGTCCTTGACACACAAACACTGCAACTGCACCGTTTGAGTCTTTCAGACACATGACGCACGTGGAAGCCACAAGTCTCATGTCACGTGACAGGAGTCCTGAGTCACAATGGAATGATCAGCTGAGGTCATAGACTGTAAGATTTACAGGAGCAACTGAAACAAACACAGCACTGCAGCAGGGACATGATTTGCATCAGCACCGGAAGGCACAACGGCAGCCGCGTTCAAACTACTTTGGCGTTTTTGGTTTGAACCAATGCACGAAAGCCGTTTGCGCGCCAACAGCAGCGGATTTGGACTGATCAGCCCAAAATGAGCTGAGAGCAAGGTTTTCACAACCCAAGTTCCGGAAACCCTTCTCTGGCCAGGCCAAAGCCAGGCCCGCACGAAACGCACGAAACGCACGAAATGCACGAAATCCGGCCCGCAGCCCTTCGAACGGAATAGGCCCCAGCACCCAACCGGGCCCAGCCTCCGGCCTCCAATCTCCCTTGCCCGGGCCTCCCCCAAGGCCCCCCAATCCCTTCCTGGCCCCTCCCAGGCCCTTCCCCGGAGCCTCCCAGAGAGGCCTGGGCCAGGTGTGTGTTCGAGCCCCGGCTGGCCCGGGAGGGCCCGCACGAAACGCACGAAATGCACGAAAGCCGGCCTGGCCAAAAGCTCTATATTGTCTCTGGAACCAGTACAAAAGCAATCAGGGAGGCATGTTTGGCAAAACCACCAATTTGGAGCAAAATCTATCAATTTATTGGTTAGAATTGCGTTTCCCGCGCGTGAGAAGAGATTTGGTGAAAATTGGCCCGTGCGTGCCCATTCCCCCGCGCGCTGGGTTTTCAGTCTACCAAAGCGCAAAGGAGAATCAGCTGGATTCAGCAGGATCAGCCTTGGGTGGTTTTGGTAAAACAAACAGAACCAAGCTCATGAGAGGAAGGAACTCGGAATCATATATTTCATAGCTGCACGGAACCGTTGGAACCTACCTGCGACAACACAACAAGAGCAGGCACGGTATGCACTGCACATATGTGATCCATACATAACTCACATACACTAACACTCCAGATCTCGCAACTCTCAGGCAAAGCAACTTTGTTCACACCGCCACGAACACCTTCTAAGTCGTCTGAGCACCAGTCACCGAAGGTTTCCGAAGGTTCTTGACATTGTCAACAAGCTTCTCTGAAGGCAAGAAACTACATCGCGAATGGCAACATGTCACACAGCAGTCCTGTCAAGGCTTGCCTCCGTTGGAAGCTCGTTGCTCCTCCATGCTGGCACAACTACCTCATCAAACATCTTGAGGTGATCTTCAGCGGTGTCGCAGAGGCTCCCCAAGCTAGCCCAGTATTTGAGGCACAGCAGTACCTCCTGCTTCCCGCCAAAGGAGATTGCACGTTTCTTTGTGCAAGCGTGCTGCGTGTTGTGACCTGGAAAGCCACACCTCATCTGATAATGCTGGGGCTCCTGGCCCTCCGGTCCAACAGGGGTGATCAAATGGTCGCCCCACGGTTCAGAACGATCCAGTTTTCTACCCCTTCCAGCTTTGGCCTTGGGGACCGCTCTAGCACTTGCTGAGGAAGCATGAGGTCCTGGGGGTGGTGGTGGTGGTGGTGGTGGCTCTACAACCCTTTCAGATGAAGATGAGCTGCTGCCGCTACTGTTGCTGCTGCTGCTGCTGGAACTGGAACTGGAGCTGGAGTCCGAATCGCTGCTGGGGCAATCATCGTCACCATTCGGCGATGCAGGAATGTCGTCCTCCATCAACTCAAGCATAGCCGCCACATCGTCATCGACATCAACATCCTCTTCAGGCACCGCTTCTTCGGAAGCAGCAGGCACAGCATCTGCCACGGCTGGACGCTTTGCACGGCGTCTTGTGACCCTTGGCTTCTTGATCGTCGGCTCTGCAAAACCGTCCTCTGCGACATGGACAAAGCGGGGTTGCCGAGCTCGTTTAGCCACCCTTTCTCGAATGTTACCTTCAGTGAAACCCAAGAGCTTGAGGTATACATGGTCAGGTGCACCGTAGGGGACTTCCGTGACATCGACACCATCTAATTTTGCCAAAGCCCACAGGTAGTTCCTGTTCACGGTTTCAGCATGCTCACGAGTGTACCAAGCCTTTTCGCCGCCGGGCTTGTGAACATATTTTGTCTTCTTCAAGTGCTTGTGCTGGGCTTCCGTGATGACTTCATGCTTCCAGCCAATGCTATCGAGGTGGCCAATGAGCTGGAAAAGTGTAGCTTCTTCGAGAGGGCCAGAGCACACCCCCAACAGTTTGCGATTGTTGTGCAGGGCCACACATTGTTGCACACGCTCATGACCAGCATCTGAAAGCTTCCAAGGGGGTCCGTGCAACATGTTTCTACTCGCCAACATGTCAAGGACCTCAGCAACAGCAGCAGGCGTGTCTGCTGTAACTGTCACACCATCTGTGGCTTTCATCAGCATACCCAATGTTTCTGTCAAGTGGCAACGAAGCTCTGCTGGAATCTCGGAAGTGAATTGGTTGTCAAAGTAATGCAGGATTTTGGAATCATCTGTTTCCCAGACATACAGCTGCAACAAATCCGCAAGTGAGAGATTGCCAACATGCAACGACAAAGGGACCTGCTCACAAGTAGAATCACGTGCGGTCGCAGCACGCAGGGACACATGCAGATCCTTCTTCTCCACGTCGACATGCAGTAGGTTGTGTAGTTGCACAAACCAGTGGCCTGACAAAGAGGCCTCTCCTTCTACACGCGTCCTGTTGAAGCGCGAGGGCTGCTCATGACCGATAGAGGCAACAACAAATTCATCCGAAATCGCATCCCCTCCACCAGCGAGGAGGCTTGCAAGTGGCTGGGTTTGGCCTAGGTCGGGCAAAGCTGCATCGCTGACCGCATTCTCGTCTGCCAGAGGTTCCCAGGCTAAGCTGAAATCCTCCAGCTGCAGCATAGCTGGTGGTGCAGCCAGCAATGATCGAACCTGGTGCAGGGCAGACCGCTTGAATTTCATGGTAATGAACATCCCCCTTTGCACAACCTTTCTCAGATCTTGAAGGGCCAAGCTTTTCCGAAGTGATTCCGATCCAGCAGGCACGTCAACTGGGTCCTGTGCAATCGGAAGCGCACGCTGCGACACGGACCGTTGTGGCACCGCCGCTGGAAGTTCCAGGGAATACTTGCAGTAGGGATCATCGTGGTATATCATCCGGAAAGCCATATCCTTCTGTTTGCCGGTTTCCAATCGCAGCCACCCACTCTTCAACATCATGTCCGCATCAAACCCCAAAGCCTGAGCAGCGGCACGACCATTTGACACACCATCCATGATCGATGCCAGCTCCAGTGCATCGTCAGGATGGGCACAAAGGTGCGCCCTGATCTCAGGGAGGCGATGGGACAGGCTAGTATACGCAGCAGAATGATGAGGAGCATGTTGGGAGGCCTTCTTCGTGCGAGCATGCTGAGCCTCCACTCTCCAGGCTGAGGTGAACATGAGGCGGAGCTCAGCGGCCTGCACTTTCAGAGGCAGCAAAACATCGCTGTCATCCCAGAGTCCGCCCCCCTCGACGAAAGCATGCACAGCATCCATGTGGTCCCGGAGCTTCATGATCCGCGGGTGGCTGCAATTTGAACTGAGGCACTTCTGCAGGCATTTCACACGGACCTTTGGATTACGGTGAGCCAAACCGGCCAGGACATGTGGGGGCTCTTGCCAAAAGCTCAACTTCAGCACATAAGTGGTCACGATGTGCCTTCTTGCAACCTCAAAATCCTGCATAAGGCCCTGTACCTGGACGTCTGTCAAGCCTCTGGGTAGCGAGACTTCAAGACGGCTGGCACTTGCATCAACAAGAGACTGGATCAAGCGAAAAAAGTCTCCTGAAGCTAGCTCAGCACACCGTCTACCTTTGAGCGGACACAAGCACACTAAGGTTTTCAACTCTGGAAGATCCGAGTCCTGCCACTGCTCGTGGCAGGGACACCCATTCACAAACCGCACAGCCTGGCGTTGCACAATGGCCACTTGAAGAAGAACCTTTATGGAGCCCCAGAAAAACGGTGATGATATACCTTCATCCGCGGCTTTCAAATTGACACCCAAATCACCCTCTGCTGTATCACCAGGTCTGGCAGTCGGGACAGATTCGTGATTGGCATGCTTGGACCCCAAGAAGCGGCCCAGATTCCAATGCATCCTCAATGCACCCTCAAGTTCGTGGATCTCTTCTATGGCTGCTGCAACAGTGTTCCATCGTTTCTCGTGAGGAACGACTTCAAAAGACTGAATCATGTCCATGTATGCAAGCGCCGGTCCATGACTGAAACATGTCTCAATGACCTGTTGCTTCGTCTCTCGCCCTGCAAGCAATGAGCAAATGGCCTTCAAGGAAACCATCATTTCTGAATAACAGCTCAGAACATCCTCCAAGTTTGCAGTGACATTGTGAATGATGTGCATCATATCCGGCCCCTCGAGGCTGTGTGAGAAATCAACAGTCCCAACCTCGGCAGCAGTCGCATCGGCTAAAGCTGGTTGGTCGGAGACCTGAAAACAATCTTCCTCAGTGGCTGCTGCTGGCACGACAAACATCTCTTCCTGCTCAAGCCTGGTTTCCATCGCCTTGCAATGTAGGTAGGGCAACATGACCTCCAGACTGACCTTATCCACCCGGGAGAAAGACTTCTCCGTCCCGTAGTCAGTGTGAATACTGACAACGGAATGGCAAAGTTCTGCTAGGGATGACCGGCTATCCACAAGAAGAGCCAGGGTGTGCAGAAAGACACGCAGCTTCGCAGGAAGATTTGTTCGGGAATGTGCCAACATGATGATGGGTGCGACATGCCAGGTTATAACACTTGACAATGTTCGCAGCATCGCACCCTCTGTGTGTCTCTGATCGGCTCTGTCCTCATCACTCCTGGAGGTGAGGCGGTCCAGGTGCACCAAGTCCTGCAAAAGCAACGT